TGCAGCCTAGCATGTTGTCTTATTTGCTTTTTATAGTAGTAAAGATGGCGTCTTAAATATAAGAAGTAATAATAAGATGTAAGTAGAGTAGTATAAGACTAAACCTATTGCTTAAAACCTGCTCTTAATACTTTACTTTATACATAAAGTAGGCCTAATATGCTTATAGACGCTAAGAAAATTTTACTTATTAACATAAAAAATATAATTACACGTAAGCTTTAACACCTTACACTTATACACTTACTTAAGTAGTGTAAAGCAGCTAATATTTAAAGGCTGAAGTAAGTAGAAGCTATAAGCTAGCATATAAAGACTAATAATCTTATGCTCTACATAGTATTAATTAAATTTAAGAGTTGCATAGCTACTATAGCTGTCTACTATAAGCAGGTAATAGACCTTAGTTATACGCAATGTAGTTTAATTATTAAAGTGCTGAAGCTAGAAAAGACTAAGCTAGTTAGTTATCCAGCTATTATTACTTACTATTAGTGTCTAGTTACTAGGGATATTGCAATACTAGCTAGCTTAATGTAGCTTGCCTAGTAGGATAATAAGTAGGCGGAGCGCCTCGCTAGACGTGTTTATACACTTAATTATTATAACCTACTTTTAATTGCTAGGCTGTATAGCAGCTGCTGGCCTAACTCTATTAGTGCTAGTTACAACCTTATATATGTAACTAGTAACCCCTATTATAAACCTTATTTTATTAAAATTATAAGTATTATTATCTAGTATTTTATACACTTAATATATGTTATTTATAAGCTTAAACTAGGCTTTAAACTTAACTAAATCCTAATAGAGTGTGCGCTAAAAGTGCAGCTTTCTGTCCTACTTTATCTAGAGCTCTGCCTAAGTATTAATAAAGTGTGATACCTAGTTCTTGCCTACAGGCCTAGGTAGGGGATCCTGGCTATAAGCTTAGAGCAGGACGTCTGCTATTTAACGCATATTAATAATATAAGCTAGAAACTCTTATTAATTAAGGACTAGAATCTAGCAAATAAGAGACTACTTTTTAACAAGTAATAGCTTTTATTTCTTTACATTACCAGCAGCCTATAGGAGGGCGCCTATAAGGTAATTACAAAGCGTTAATTAAGGCGTATTATATAAGGTTAAAAAGTAATAAACTAATAAATTTTTATAGTTTTAGAGAATAAAGGTAGCTAGAACTAGTCTGCCTTCTTTTTGCGCTAATTAGAGCTGTTGTGGTGGTGGTAGAGGCATATTAGCTGATAGAGACGCGTCGATTTTGGTGGGGCTAGCGGATGAGTGGTGAAACACGTTAGGAAATTCTACTTAGTAAGCAATTCTATCTTTCTAAGTACTAAACAGAAATATTTAATTTTTTTAAACTATACAGCTGTACTAATAAATATATAATAGTAGTAGAATATTTAGCCTTTTACTTCTATTAGTAGCTAGCTTTAAAAAACTAATTTTTTAGCCGCTATTTTTTACTATAGTTTTAAATATACATTATAAATATTAAATATATAAACATAAACTATAGCTAGATAAACTGTCTTAGTGTAACTAACACTATAAATAAAAATATAATTTTATTTACAACTAACTAGACAATCTATATGCAAGATGCTTGTATCTAATTTTAATGCTTCTTCTTTATCTTTTTTACATGTAACGTATACTACAGGCGAGTTACTTACACATCTAAGTTAGTTACATTTGCTAAGACTCTACTAAACTACTTTTTTTTACACTAATGTATTCCTAACAACACTACTTAAATGTGCTAAAAAGATGTTAGATATAGCTTACACTTTAAGCTTTTAAATAAAATGTAACATTCTTAAAGTAACATGTTGCAGCTATATATAAAGTCTTTTAAAAAAAAATAATAAATAACTAATAACGTACCTAACAGGTTGGCCGGCCACACGGGTTGGCCGGCCACTTTTGCTAAGCCCCCACTAAACTCTACCTATCTACATAATGCCTTAACAACAACACTAGATTAAATCTTTTAAAGAACGTTAGATACAGCTTGCTCTTTAGGCTTTTAAATAAAACTTAAAACTCTCCTTGCAACGCGCTGCAGCTATCTATAATGTCTCTTACACAACACTAAGCAATTAACGCGCTAGACAGCCTTTACAAGCAGAATGCTAGCCTAAATTAAGAAATCTAACTAAGCTTAAGAAGAAAGTAGTTGTTAAGTACATACTTAAGCTTATTACACGCAGATTTCCCTCTAGGCTTACAGCTGTAGCTAATATAGCTAATTCCTTGCCTACAGAGCGCAATCTAGGCCAGGTTAGCTTAAACTAGACTAGTATGTAGGTTAAGCACTGCTCTAAGTTTATAATAAAGTTTAATTACAAGTATAATTATAAAAGAGCACTTTATAAGGATCTAGAGGTTATCTAGGGCTAGTTTTGCCTAGTAGCTAACATAAAAGCTAAGTACAGTATCTAGAATAAAGACAGGTATAACTTTAACAAGTTAAGCTTTATAATAAGCTAGATATTAACTAAAGCAGTTATTACAGCTTTAAAGAGACAAAGACAGCTAAAGGCAATATAGTAAAGTAATAAAAAGTAGACAACAGTTATCTAGGGCATTAACGCAATAAAGTAGGCTATAAGATTATAAAGCTTTAAGCAGTAAATAAGGCTGCTACATAATGTAAATTGCATAAAAAAAAGCAGATTTAGGCAAAAAAGACCTTAATAGTTAAGAATAGAGCTTGTCTAACTACTCTAAAGAAGTTTAGAGCGCGTAGTAATAGAAAGAAGCTAAAGACGCAGGTACACGCTAAAAAAGGTAAGCTAAGTTAAAGGCAATGCAGGCAGTGCAATTAGACTAGGCATAACTTATATACATGTAAGCAAGTAGCAGAAGTAGACTCTAAATAATATCTTATGTTGTATTACTCTATATAGGGCTAAAGTGGGCTGTTTTGCGAGAGAATAGGGTGGTTTTAGTAGGGGCTTGGCAAAAGTAGCCGGCCAACCCGTGTGGCCGGCCAACCTGTTAGGTACGTTATGCTAAATAACTTTTATAAGCTATTTCTACTACTAACTTATAAAGGCTAGGTAATAACAAGAAGCAGCTAATTATTAAGCACATACTTAAGCTATATGCATAAAGATTTTCCTTTTAGCTAGTAGCTATAGCTAATATAGCTAATTCTTTACACGCTAAGCATAATGTAGGCTATATTAGCATAAACTAGCTTAGTATGTTAGTAAAATATTATCTAAAGCTTAAAGTAAAGTTTAAGAGTAAGTGTAACTATAAAAAACCTTTTTATAAAAATTCTAAAGTAATTTAAAGCTAATTTAGCCTTATAAAGAATATTAAAGCTAAGTATAGCATCTAGAATAACAACACATATAACTTTAATAAGACAGGCTTTATAATAAACTAGATATTTACTAACTATACTTATACTTAAAACTTTACTTTAAGCTCTAAATAACACATTATAAATGTCCTAGACTAGTTTATGCTTAGTGTGTAAAAAATTAGCTATATTAGCTATAGCTGCTAGCTAAAAGGAAATCCTTACACATATAGCTTAAGTATATGCTTAATAATTACTTACTTTTTATTATTACCTAGCTTTTATATGTTAGCTGTAGAATTAGCTTATAAAAGTTATTTTGTATATTAGTTATTTATTTTCTTTTAAAAGACTTTATATATAGCTAACGCATATTACTTAAAAGTATTACATCTTGTTTAAAAGCCTAAAGTATAAGTAATATCTAACATTCTCTTAGCACATCTAAGTAGTGTTATTGGGAATGCATTAGTTGTAAGGAGTGGTGAGCGATTCGAATGTAAAGATGGGATGGTAAATAGCACGAATAGCACTGAGAGCAAGCTTTCGGAGAAAGATAGGAGTGTATTGTAAGAGAGACGAATCGCTGCCAAGCCTCGCTTGTCAGGATTCATATTATATACGAAGCACAGGTCATACGACCTCCAAACAGGTCAGGTGAGGCCATACTAGCCCGTTCTGGGACATCCGGCCTTACATTAGTGTAGAAAATATAGTTTAGTAGGGTTGTAGTAAAAGTAAGCAACTTAGATGTGTAAGCAACTTGCCTGTAGTGTACGTTAGCAGAATTTTAAGAACTGTAAAAGGTAGTAAAATTTAAATAAAATTTAAAACTTATAAAGTATATATAATAATTTATTAGAAATTAGTTTTCTAAAACTTTTCTTCTTATAAAATTCACTAAGAAAGTAGTTGCCTTTTAAAAGGCATTAAAAATGCAAGCAGCATTAAAAACTATAAAAAAAAAGTAGTTATAATTGCTTAGCAGCGTGTTAAGCAGTAGCTAGAGAGCAAAAGGCGTTAAAATGCAGGGCATCTCGATGTAAGCTAACAGCTGTAGCGCGCTATACACGCTGCAGAGAGCAGGGGCACCACAACTCATGTACGTGGTGGGTAGGATAATCTAGATCCTGTTTAACCTATGATTCATGTTAAGTAATTCTATTCTAATACGTTGTTAAACTGCTCGAGTACAATGATGTTGAAAGTTAGGTAGAGTTATATAAGAAAAGCGTTAGAATTAACTATAAGTATATTATGCACTATCTTTTAGTTGTAAATAAAATTGTCTTTTTATGTGTAGTGTTAGTTGTGCTTAGATTTTATCAGCTTCAGTAGTCTAGCGGCTTTAGTAGTAAAACACGTTATAAACCTTTATATATTTGCGAATACAAGTTGATATTCACTAGTAAGAGAATAAATTTGTATGAATCTTGCTTAATCTACATGGCATTTACTATAAATGAAAACCACGATAGTGCATTAGAGTAAAGCAAAGAAGCCTTAGCAGAAAGCTTAAATACGAGGAAGATAACAGTGTCTCGAAGCCACACGTACGATACGTGGATATGAAAAGAGAACCTCTCATAAATAATAAAGGAACAATTAAGGAAATGAAATTTGTGTTAACAACATTACGCTAGATGCCTCATCCTATTGCTGCTTGTAGCCCGACTCTTTAGCCGTCCAATTTTATGATCCGATTCTGTACAATCCATTCCCCTAGGTCAGTCATAGTTACACTCTCATCTAAAATCTTTAACAACGGGACGCTAGAGCCCAGCGTTGATATAATCCAGGATCGAAGCTCTACGGCAATTATGCTATCAATCCCATATTCAGCAACTGATTTAGATGTATCAATACTCTCAGACGGGACCATGAGAATGGTTGCAATTCGCTGCATAATAGCCTCAGCGACAATCGATATAGCATCCGTTATTTTCCCGTCTTTGAGTGCGCCGTCGACAACTGACACGATATCTGATATAGAGCCCACTTCACTACGTTGAGGTGGGGCCTTCACGGACTCCTGATCTAGCATCGCTCGGACAATGTGCACAAACTTTCTGTCCTTGCGCCACATTGGGGCTAGTGCCGTTTCCTCGTCAGATGGCTGTAGATTTTTGGCGAGCTTCATAGGATCAAAACATGTTGTGATCTGGGCTTCAGCCAGGGGATCGTAAGTATACCAGCTCTCGACGCATTTTGGTGGTTCCAAGAATGCGCCTTCCATCAACCTGAGAAGACCAACCTCGCCGGTGCTATACAGACCATTTCGGCGGAATGCATTATTCGCGGAGGCGACAGTACCCATCCCACCAATCTCAGTTATGGGGCCAAGGCCAATGGCGCATGCGGGAAGACCAAGCGATCGCCGGTAGCGAGAAAATGCGTCCTGGAAGCAATTTGCTGCGCAATATGCCGTCCCAGCGGGGAGTGCCAACACTGCCTGGAAGGAACTGGTCATAATGAAAAAGTCCAAGGGCAAGTCGTGCTCCAGAGAAGCCTCATGGAGGTTAATTGTACCAGTGACCTTCGCAGATAGTCCGAGTCTCCATTGGTCATAAGAAAGGCTTTCGAAATGTACGTCATTGAAAGAAACAGCCGCGTGGATGATTCCTCTGATTGGCCGCTGTGCCGGTGCTGTTGTAATGATAGCGTTAATTTCACTCTTCACAGTAACGTCACATCGAGTGAAGCGTATGCGGGCCTTCTCGGCTGGCAGGCCTTGGATGAAGGATTGATCTTCCGAGCTAGGGGCTCCGGAACGTGAGCCGACCACAAAGGATCTTGCGCCACGGTCAGCCATCCATTGGAGGATACACCGTCCAATTGCTCCAAGCCCACCGAAAATCAAATATTCTGCATCCGGATCAAACTGAGCTTTTGGTGTAACAGGGCGCATCTGATTCGAGTTAGTATACGGCAAAGCTACTCATGAGCAGAATGAAGCACGAGGAACCAGCCATACCTTTACCAGCGACTTCGGCTCCTCATATGTAACAATGATCTTTCCAATGTGCTTGCCTCTCGAGAAGTAGAGCAACGCTTTCTCTAGCTCCGAGACATCAAACGTTTTAAGAGGCGTAATTGGGTGGATGATGCCCATTCGAAGCATACCGTCGACTTCTTGCATCAATCTAGAAGGGTTAGTCTGACGTTGAATCATAAACATAGGAACCTGAAGTACGTACTGTGCGCAGAAGTTCCGGTCTTGAATATACATAGTATAAATATCAAACGAACAGAACGTAGCATTGCGAGCGAATACCTCCATGGCCATCATACCAGAATTCATGACGTCGAGTCGACCCACGTCTATGAAGCGACCCCGGGGAGCGATACAACGCCATGATTCGTGCATCATGTTGCCACTTGACAAGCTCAGAATGACATCGAACCCACTGCCCCCTGTAGCAGACATCAACTTGGAAAGATCTCCTTCTTCTCGGGATGAGAATATCCGGTTCTCGGGAATTTGAAAGTTTTCGGTGAGATATCGTGCTTTTTCGTCTGAGCCAACAGTGACATATATGTCCGCGTGAATATGCTGGGCGAGTTGGATTGCGGCAAGACCTACGCCTCCACTGGCTGACTGGATCAGAAGCCGTTCATTCGCATGTAACCGTGCCAGATGGTTGAGGGCATAAGTCGCAGTACAGAAGACCACAGGGATGGTGGCTAGCTCGGCCATAGTTAGACTAGGAACCGCCAATTGAAGCATGCACGATGGAACCCTTGTCACTGTGCCGAATTTGCCCCAGGCGAAACCGTAAACACGGTCGCCAGGGCTCAGGCCTTTGACCAACTTGCCACACCTTGCGACGATGCCAGCGCTTTCGAAGCTCAAGTCATCCATGTCAACCTTTCCCGTGGCAACTCCTAGATTTTTCCAGTTGAGGCCAGTCGCGCGCGTCTCTAATTCAATGTAATCGTCAGGCAGAGGACTGTTAAAAGAATCATCGCGCTTGAAGTATAGGGAGCTGAGAAGACCAGGCGCAGTGAAATCTGCAATAACGGGATATTTCTGATGAATGGGCTTATCAATTGGATCTAGAGGCATCGTATACATGGCTCGAAAGCGTGAGTTGAGGTCGTTATCCAATGTTAGCCGTGATATGTGAACGATACCATCATGAATTGCAAATTCTCTTTCGGGATCGCCAGAGTAGAGTTTCGCTTCCTGCGTAGTGATAGCTCGGGCGGCTTCCTCACAATCAATCCCTTTTTCAACATGGAAAATACCAAATCGAGATTCCGGATGCTCAGTATTAAGCATTCGTATGAGTCCTGTAGCGACTGCGGCCTCCGGTCCCTGACCCTTCAACAAGCCACCCGCGGTTAGCCAGAGTAGCGATGATGCAGATTGGACCACCTCCTTAATCGCATGGAATTCGGACTCCGAGCTGTCGGCTAGAGTATATGAATCTAGATCTGTAGCAACAATTATGCGACTATTTTTAGGGATCTGTGCATCCCCCAGCGTAATTAGGTTGGGGATAATGTTCTGATACTGCAGCTCTCTTGACAGAGCTTCTTGGAATAGACCAGGCTCTTGGCGGCAGACGACATACACGGCGTCATGGGCCCGTGTGGATGGTGCACCATTTTGAGATGGTGCGGCTGTTGTGACGATTGTGGATGCGATGTGATGTGGCGGATCATAATCGTCGAGTTCAATGTCGATACCGGTAAACCCCGAATCTTTCAACCTTTTCTGCCAGATTTCGGTACTGATAAATGGTAACCGCTCTTCCGTCCAAAAATTGGGGAATGTCCCAAAGGCCAACCCGTGACCTAGGGTCGGGCGCGTTGTCTCTATGAGAATCAGTCTCCCGCCAGGTTTCAATAATCTCCTGACGTGACGCAGGGTCAGCGCTACGTCTGGAGTTGCGTGAATGCACTGAGATGCAATAATCAGATCAAAATCTCTCTCAAATCCCTGCTCCTCGGGGTTCTTAGAGATGTCTAGTGCCTTGTAGAAAATGTCGCTAAACCTCGAAAACTCCGCTTGAGCAGACTCAAAGAAGCCACTGGATACATCAGTGAAGGTGTACGTGTGATATCGCTTCGTGCTCATATCAGCCCCTAGACTCCGCAGAGCAATGCGAGTTGCCCCCCCAGTGCCAGCGCCAATCTCGAGTATTTTCATACTTGGATCGGCGTGGGCCGCGAGATCCAAGATACGCTCCAGCTGAGTGTAAGCACCCACGATACCGAAGCTAGAGGTATAAAGTTCCTTCAATAGATTATCCTGGAGTGCAATTTCCATTGCCGTCGTCTTCCCCGTTAGGATATCTGAGATTTTGTCGAAGATTCGCTTCACATGTTTGATGTCGATTATATTTTCCAAGGGCAAACAAAGCTCATTGATAGCGGCTAGGCGGGTATTGCTGCACATAAGGCGGGATTCCTCGGCGTATGGTAGAGCAGTGGTAGCAGAATGATTTATCCAGTTAAGGAAGTGCTTGAGGTTGGTATCGGTAGGGTTCAGTGACCCACACTGCTCGGCAATGTGGACGATCATGTACATCGTGGTCTTGTCGATATCTTCAAAAGTTGTCTTTAGGTATTCTAGGGAAGTTGTGGGACCAAAAAGTGTTCTTGCTTGCTTATTCGAGAGCGCTGCAAGGTCGGGTTTCCAGACTAACCGTGTGTACTCATTTTCCTCCAGAAGTTGTTTTGCTGCGTCGCCCCCATTGTAGGCCACACATTTCATATTGTTGACCTCTACCTTTGGATCTCCGGACTGGGTTCTGAGTTGAATTGATACGAGCCCACCTCTCAGACCCTTACGATACCCAGTCGCAGAGGCATGACCCCATGCCTCAGAGGCTTTAGAAGGCCAAACGGTCATTTCCTCAATGTAGACAGGAACGTAGACATGATTGACTAGTTTACTATGACCACTGTAAGACGCAATGCATCCAAGCTGAAAGCATATATCCAGAGTGACAGGATGCATCGTATAGGATGATTCAGGTCCAGAGAAGGCTCTACGAACCGTGCCCAGATCCACTTTAGCCTGTGCAAAGTTCCCGCGCGCGTCGGATTGAAGGTCTGAGAGTCCTTGGAAGGACTGTCCGTAATCAAGGCCAAATTCTGTGAACTTTGTATACCAGTCTTGGGTATCGATGTGGCGCATGTTTGTTCGACTTTCCAGTGCCCGCATAGCTTGGCCAGATGATGAAATAACTGATATCATGCCGGCAGCATGTTCTGTCCAAATTCCATCCGCATTTACAGAGAACACTTGAAATTCGAGCCAATTAGGAAGTCCAGGATATGGTCCCAAAGCCAACATGACTTCCAAACCGTTTTCGTCATCTACCACCCGCATTGGTGATTTGATAAAGATATTTCGCAATTTGAAGCATGGGTCACTTGGAAGGCTTCTGGATTGGCTAAGAAATTGTGCGGCAGCCTCTATTGCGAGGCATGGGTATCCTGAGCCCGGAAAAACCGCGTTCGGGTGTAACTTGATGGAGTTAGCTACTCATCCTGGACCTTCAGAGACTGCAGCGAAGACATGAAGAGACAGCCGCTGAATATTGCTTACCTTGTGCTCGCCAACCCACGGAACATCCTTGATACGCAGAACGTTTCTCCATGTCGGGCGAGTTTTCGCGCAACCGGGCTGCATGACACCCAGTATGTCATGCCGAAGATACGGTCGCTGCTTGATTTCCCGCCCAATACGTGTCTCGTGGCATATCGGAGGCCCATAATTGTACCGATATGTCGGCATACCGGTGCACACGGAGCCATGAGAATACTTCACAAGGCCATTTTCTAAAACATCAACTGCATTGACGGCCACGAGATCAACCGGATAATTTAAGCAGAACAGTGACCCGCAGAGATCGAGGAGATTCCGCAAAGCGTCTTCATGTCTCTTCAACGTTGGTAAGTATACTGGCGTCTTTAAGCCATTCTGGAGCCCGGCGGCTGCAAATATTTGTTTCACGGGCGATTGAAGAGTTGAGTGGGGCCCAAGTTCAACCAGTATATCCACCCGGGTGTTTTGGTTCGAAATTATCTCTCCGACGGCCTTCGAGAACTGGACTGGGGATACTAGATTCTGGTGCCAATAAGCTGGGGTTACAGTAACACATTGGTGGTCCAATTTCTTAGATGGTGTTACAGATGAGATCCAGCTGCATCTAGAGCTCCGCTCGGCAGTTTTGGTAAGCCTGTGGCCTGAAATTTCTCGGAGCGTGCGATCGAGAAGGTTTTCATATTCCTCACCAACGGGGGCCATGTGATGAGAGTGATAAGCATTCCCGCCAGTATGGAGAAGGCGGGAAAACACCCCATCGGCTAAGAGTTTTTGATGCAGATCGGTAACCGATTCGGCATCTCCTGACAGGGTTACACTTCCTGGGGAATTGATGGCTGCAATTTTGACGGCGCCTTCCAGTTTTTCCTTTATGAAGGACAATGCAGCCTCCTCCGACAGGCCAACTGCTAACATCTTGCCCTCCCGGGTATTCTTAGTTATTGCCTTTCCGCGGCAGTATGCCGTGACAATAGCTTCGGGAAGCGTAAGAAATCCCGCCGCATATGCGGCCGCGATCTCTCCAGATGAGTGGCCAATAGCTACGTGCGGATTGATGCTCCAGGATTCAAGCAAGTCAAAAAGCGCAATCTGCAACGCCGTACAAACGGTTTGGGAGATCTCAGGATCCTGGACTGAAGTATCCGAAGACCCGCTGAGAATATCTTCAAGGCTCCAAATCGGGGCTAATGTCAATGATTTTAATATCAAGTCTTGTTGCTGGATTGAAGTCTTGAAAACTCTGTAGTCAAAAAGCTCTCGGCCCATGTCTTGGTATTGTGCGCCTTGACCTACGGGACAAAGGTTAGTATGAGCAATGAAAAGTGGAAGATCTAATTACCAGTGAATACGAAGCCAATTCTGGGGAATTGAGCGCTTGCGGCAAGGATAGACACATTTTCTGAAACTGCAAGACCACTTGCGGGTGATACTGACGATACTATGCATGTGGACTTGACGAGAAATTTCGACCTCCTTTTTGAGAGGGTATATGCAACATCTGCAAGGGGCAATCGGGAAATACACCCTTGAAGCGTCGATACATTTGCATCCAGAGCCCGGCGATCATGAGCGGAGAATGGAAGAATCACCAATCGCCGGGTTGTCGCTAGGTTAGGATGAACCCCGTTAGCAGAGCCATTGCGCTCTACGGGATGGCCTTTGGTGTCTCGGTTTGCTTGGTGACGAGAGTAATCGATGGGATTTTCCTCCGAATAGGATTCCCGTGTATGTGTCAGATCATGCATAACATCCGGATGGTCCATGATGCAGTGGGCATTTGCACCACCATAACCGAATGAGTTGACGCTGACCCTCTTGAGTAGCCCTTGAGGCCATGGCATTGTATTGGTCACGACCTGGACGCGAGCTTCACAAAAGTTGACTTTTTCTTTGTGTTAGAGGGCGTGGACTCGGAGATAGCAGAAATCACCTTCTGGAATACTTACTGTTCGGATTCAAGTTACGGACACCTATTGTCGGCGGAATCACCCCCTTCTCTAACGCCAGGATTGCCTTAATCACTCCTGACACACCACTAGCCGCTTCAGAATGCCCAAGATTTGTTTTAATCTAAGTTTGCTGTCAGAGGGTAGGGCGGCGTTGATGATGAAGCTGCTCTAGCATGCTTACCGAACCAATGAGGAGTGACGTATCAGGGCGATCCTTTCCAAAAACCTTCCCGATTGCGGCCACTTCTATCGGATCACCAACGGGTGTGCCAGTACCGTGACACTCGAAATAACCCGTAAACCGAGTGGGTAACGAGGCGCTATCGTAGGTATGGCGAATGAGCGCTTCTTGACCTTCAACGCTTGGGTGTGAGATACCAGCAGTCCGTCCATTACTGTAGGAGTTAGTGAGATGGCGTCAGTGCCCCAATGAAGGCGAAATTCAACTTACGAATTTATCCCTGTGGCACGAATAAGAGCCCGAAGAGGATATGCCCCCTCAACAGCGTCAGCGTACCTCTTCAGGTACAATGCGACAAACCCTTCGCCCCTGGCATATCCATCCGCAGACGCGTCGAATGTGTGGCAAGCAGAAGTTGGTGATAAGGCGCCAAACGTAGTCATGAGCCGTTGCATCTCTGGCGACATGATCAAATTGCTTCCACCAACGATTGCGGCGTCACAATCGCCGTTCCTGAGTGCATTGACAGCCAAGTGAAGAGCGTACATGGACGAAGAGCAGGCCGTGTCAACGGTCAGACTATAAAAAGATTAGTTGAAGGCGACAATGGGTGGCAATCAGCCTTCTTATTGTGGCATGGTGGGTTATTACCTTGGACCTCGCAAGTTAAAGACATAGTTAATCCGATTACTTAATATACTAGAACTTGCTCCGGTCGAGGAATATGGAGGGGCGAAGTCGATATCGTACATCTCTTGCAGATGATGATCGCCATTGAAATTTCCAACGAACACTCCTGTCCGAGATCCAGAAAATTTATCCCAGGGTTCACCAGCACCCTCAAAGGCCTCGTAGGCAACCTCAAGCATTTTACGATGGGCGGGATCCATAGTTAGGACCTCCGCAGGGCTTATCCCAAAGAATACATGATCGAATAGTCTAGGGTCTTCATCCAGTAAGTGAGCTCCTCGAGAAGGGACACTGCCTGGCCGCTGAGGGTTTGGATGATAGTAGCCATCTAGATTTAGTTTATCTAATCCGAAATCGCGATATCCAGAGCGCCCCTCCTCGAGGAGGTCCCAAAGATCTGACGGCGTTGAAACACCTCCCGGTAATCGGCAGCCTGACAGACACGTCAGCCAAAGGAGTTAATAAAGATGAGAGAGAGGATTTCTACCCATCCCCACCACTGCTATGGGCTCCGGCAGTGTGCGTAAGGGAATCGCATCGAGGGAAGCCGGGGCCTTCTGTTGACCTGGCCCGAGATTTTCTAAGCTATTGTGGATTTGTGGGCCGGCCATGGTAGTAGATTGGAGAAAGTGGAGAAGTTCGATGTTCAACTTTCAAGACGAGCGACCGGAGCTGACCGCTGAGAGCGCTACAAACCCTGTGTTCAACTTATATCATGAGCACCCTCCACAACTATGCAGCTTCCTAGAAACCTGGCAAGCCAACTGTGACACGAGTACTACACATATCTGAAAATACTGTTTGCTCGTTGGCGCACCCCTACACAAGAAGTACCACACTCCGGAGCTACCACAGAGAGATTGTGGAGATGTGTGGCCCAAAACCGGCCATATCCACCGATATTCCGAATGTTTCAAAGTCCAGCAAGCAAGATAGCCAATTATCATGCATTTTCCTGCCTACATGAAAGCTGGGATACATTTCTTTCACCCTTTCATCGACGGCTAAATAAGCGCCTTTCAAGAGGATTCTCCACAAAGCAGCCCAATAGGCGTGATGCGAGACGGCGTGATAATGATGAATAGCTCCCTACTAGATGTAGATACTCTGCAAGGTTCCGGATTTAGGATCTAAACGATAGGATTCGATGGTTGAATCATCAAATCCTTCGGGGTCATGGTTTGCAGCTCGGTGACTCTTTGATTGATTGATCAACTGTCCATTCAGAATGAGTTAAATTATCATGCAGTTGGATTGCCGTATCAGCTTCGGTGATATTTCCTCATTCCGCAGACCTGGCAACTCGGGGTAATATTTGTGCGGTGACATCGTGAAACCTGTCAGGAAGGCGATAGTGAAGAAGACCTTTGACACTCCAATGTTGTGAGACTGGTAGCAATAATGGAACCATATCGACGAAGGGTGGATATTGATACATTATTAAAGTAGAGAGGCCATTAGGATACGCATAGTGTGAACTGCAAGTATTGAGGTGTTGAGGCCCAATTTGTGGGTGTGAGTGCCAAGCCTTTTTGCGCCCTCCTCTGGACAATGCGTACCGATGCGTATTTCGCAGGGTCGGAACTGTTCCATTCGTTTCGTTCCGTTCCCTGCAGGGAAATCAGCCTCACCCCGGCCACGCTAGCAACCCGCTTTTTATCCCAGACAGCCGCTCCCAAATCCCACTCCCGCTCCCGCTGCCGTCGTATCTGCAACAAAGTATTGGGTAAAGATCCTCTAAACTGGGGACGAGATCCGCACCTTCTCGCTCTCCTAGGTCGCCCTACGTTCAGAAACGAGTGTTTCAATCAGCAACCAATGAGCACCAACGGGCCCCACACCTGGCCTTGCTCGTGGTCTTTCGGTCTCCGAAAGAGATCTGTTCGAATCCTTCAAATGACTTTCACGAACCTCTGTATGCCTTGTTCCTAGCCCAGCCATCTAATCTATGCCCTCGACAAGGCAGTAAGACCTCTTATCAATCTTTACATAGCAAACGTAACGCTGCGTCGGACTTGAACGACATCAGAATACCCATGGCGAACGGGCGGTCCCAAGCCAGACTTGAAACGAGAGAAAAGAGAGACTACTACACCACTCCAGGGGCCTTCCCTTGCCGTCGCAATCTACATATTCGGCTTTCAACTCCATAATTTAGGCCAGTGCGAGAATCTCTCTCACAAATTCCCTTCTTCTGACCATTTCATATTCCTATTTTGGCGACGACGTCTGCAACATGCTGGACTTGTGGTCTTCAATTCAGAACCACTCTTCGGATGCATACCAAAGCGCTATTGTTCTCACGGTCCTGACCTCTGTGGCAGTCGTTCTCCGCCTTTGGACCAAAGCACGAACGAACGCTAGGCTGGGCTGGGACGATGCTTTGCTCGTTGTCGCCATGATCTTATGGTACGGGCAAACCGCCTGTGAACTCTATGGTAAACTATTTCCTCCCTACGTATTATCCTTTCGCTTTTGTTAATCGTCCCGACAGCTATCACTGTAGTGCGCCGTGCCAAAAGCCTATTGGACCCCAATATCATGGAGTTCCTAAAGGTAGGTCGTGTCTAATTTCTCACACCCTCTTAGTCTAGCCCTGACAAGTGATTGGTATAGATGGCGTATATTGCAGGAGAGATATACCCTCCGCTCACACTCACTATTAAGCTGTCCCTGCTACTCTTCTACCGACGGATTTTTCCAATCCAAAACTTTGAAAAAATGGTCACGATTGCTGCCGTCATTGTTATTCTCTGGTTCATTCCAGGGTTTTTGGGGGAAACATTTCTGTGCTGGCCAATTGACGTTATGTGGACAGATTTCGCACACGCAGCCGAAAAGTGCGGAGATTATGGCCTCTTCTTCGCGATTATGATCAGCTTCGAGATAGTGATAGACTTTCTCATACTAGTATTGCCGATTGCACAGGTTCTTCAACTTCAGATGAGCTGGAATAGTCGAGCAACGCTAGCAGGTATCTTCATGCTTGGTGGCTTGTAAGTTCTCTTCACTCAATAATCTTCAGGGACACGCCCTTTCTAAGAGTATCCTAGCTCGATCGTAACCAATATCCTCCGCATCGCCTTCTCCTATCGAAAAGGTGAACAATTCATCGATCTGATACAAGACATGGTATGGATCAATATCCATTGTGCCACGGCTATCCTGTGCATATGTCTCCCGACATACAGGCCGCTCGCACGGGCAGGCGCTACATTCATCTCCTCCAACATCAGAAAGATATATGGTTCTGGTGTCGGCTCAAAACAGTCTGGTGCATCGTCTCTCCCACATTCCAGGAAGGAATATTCTTCCTTTCCTGGTGAATCATCTCATCAAAGCGTTCACAAAAGTGCCGGCAGTTCTGAGGGACCCGTCGGGCCATTTGACGATGACATTCACCTAGTTAAGATGCCCAGAGGAATTGAGACGCGGGCGGAATACGAATTTCATGGAGAGAAGGAAGGACATGAGCGGTGGAACGACAGGAAGGGAAAGAAGGACATCACCGTTTGTCGCACAGTCGACATCGTGTAATGCTCAGTTGAGTTTTGCGCTAGGGAGTCCTAGCCTTCTGAAAGCTTCGCTATCCAACCTCTTCTTGTCAGAACGCAAAGTCATGTTTGGTGTTAGGCGCATCACAAGTTTGAGTCCGTATCCATATCCATCGCTTAATGATGAAGCCGATATAAATGAATGAAAACAATAGGTCCAAAAAGAATCCATTCCCTTTCCCCACCTATCCCTTTGACAGCATTTGGGCTTGGCTCTTGCTGATAACAGGCTTCCTACACAATCATTTCAATTATAGAATGACTCGGTTAATGGTCGGTGCTCGCCAAATTAATATTTCGTTTGCCACCAAGGGAGGACGAAAGATTACAAGCCAATATAGATAATAAAGACACTCCGTCCTGAGATACGAAGGACAAATATACTCGAAGTAGTTGAAGTACTCTTTAACGAGCATATCTGATCATCTAACCACCTTCTTTGCGAAAGCGTCCAAGGCATTGAAGACTTCTCGTGGCTTCTCCAGTTGCAACCAATGTCCGCACCCAGTTAATTCCTGTACCTCTACGCTCGGCAAATAACCTTCCTGCCTTCCCTGCTCTGCTGACTGGCGCGCCAGCTCTGGACGAGTCACCACGTCTCCATCAGCAATCAGAAATAGTACTGGCCGTGAGATGATGAGGTTCTCTGGAGGAATTTGCGAATAATTGGGCACATCAATGTTTCTTATCGAGGCTTTATACCAGTTGAGAGGCCCTACATATCCTCCATTTCGGAGAATTGCATTGTGGGTGTCAACTTCAGGCTTTGACAGCCACGACGGTCGCCCGACCTTTCGGTCGCTGGTTACCCACGCCCTTGCTTTTCCATACGGACATAGATCAGTTTTCCATATCTCATAATTATTCGGATAGCTCAAAGCGGTCATTGATTCGCTCTATGTTGCCGTTAGCTCTAAGAAAGGACGAAATGGGTGAGTGGGCCGCAGGGCTTCTTTACATGTCTGTCGCAGAGCTCAGCGGCGTCGGATTCATTAAAGAATTGCCAATATCCAAATACCGGGTACCCAAACAGGCTCTCTGTGAAAGAGTTGAATGCGTCTGTAACTTATTGTAAGGCCATGTGATTTGAGCGTGGGTTAGGTGCACTTGCCAAGGTCAAATGTTCCGGGGGGTGTGTACGGAACGGCCATGAAAACCAAAGCCGATAGTCGTTCAGGGTACCGGTTTGCGAGCATCCCGAGGATACCACAGCCCCTGGGCGCAAAATTAGCCTGCTGGTGGGAGGCGGGTTTACGGTAACACCACCCGGATATGATAAAACGTAACATACCAGTCATGGCCAACAGCGACAACGTTGGATATTCCTTCATGTTCAAGAAGTTTCGCGATATGTGCAGCCATTCTCCAGACCGAATACTCCTCAACTCCAGGAGGCTTATCTGTATTTCCATAGCCTAGCAGGTCTGGTGCAATAACGCCATACCCTGCGTCGCTGAGGTCGCGGATCTGATTTCGCCAGTCGTAGCTGGCACTGGGGAACCCATGAAGCAGAAGGAATGTAGGCTTTCGTGGGCGTGCAGGGTGCACCACGTAAGAATACGTTGGGCCTCCAGGAATGGTGAAGTGTTTGCAGTTGGGAAAAGGTTGCAAAGCCATAATGAGTTGGGTGAAGAGAAGGCTGGTGAGACACAAACACGCATACCGCGTGATGATGTTAAGAAACTTCATCCTGAGTGCCAATCAGAGGTGTTAAAGCCTGAAACATCTAGGATTCCCTGAACAATAAGGGGTCCCTATGATTTATATTAAATATCCATCCGTCTGTCTCTTCACTTATGCATTAGGTGCCAATATTAAGTAACACCAAACTCAAGGGAATATCCGAAGCGCCGCCATTGCCCGCTGTTGGTGTTAGTAGTGTTATTGAGGCTTGTTTCTTACACTGACTGCGGAATGATCTTGCGTATCGGACTTCGACGACTCGCGCGCGCCAATAGGCCATTCGAGTTGAAAATTTGCGTTAGGTGGTGAGCTATGGCGACTTGTGTATGCTTGGTGTTGTATTTCGACGGCCTATGCATTGACGGCGTTTGCCTCTAACTTCTCGTGCATGGATGGCGCGTGTCCGGTGCACATGTATGAACTAGACACCGCGGTTGCGTTCGTGTTGGGGCCAGTACCTTGTATTTGGACAGCCCCACAGGGTGCAGGATTTATGGAAGTATCGAAAGCAGAGATGCCCTTTTAGCGAGGTGCATGAAGGCGGAAGCGCCAAGTACAATAAGATTTCATATATCTCTTTTCTAGAAAAATACATGCAAAACGTAGAGAAATTGTTTCACTTCCCGAAATACCAGAATTCCTAGAAAGAGAACCGTTTCTTAGGAAAGTCACACAAGGATTGTTATTGTGCATTATGTTGTCCCCCCTCTCACTATATGACCGAATGGCTGAAGTGAACATCGAGAACGTCCATAGTCCCGCCTTTGTAAACACTCATAATCTGAGCAGACGACACAGTAGTCAGTGCGATCGCAAGTGTGCAGGCTATTTTAACGATAAACGTACCCCAAACCACTCATCAGTCATTTCCAGCAAGATCCGGGAAGTCACTTTCGGTCCTCTACTTCACTCTGAATGCTACTATCACCAACATATCTCTCTATATTTGTGTTTTCTCTGCGCTTCTTGACACTCTGCATGGTCCCCAGGTTATTGTATCATTAATTAAAGCGGGGGACCAAGACTGAGTTTTTCTAACGCTAGGGGAGCCTGAAGGGTTGCGGTACATTCACCATCTCTCCAGTTATAAAATCAGGGTGGTATGAAATGGGCACCTATGTCAACCACTCGCTGAGATTTGAAGAGCCTTGTGTTCATTCTTAAGGAATCATGTCCCTGGTTGTACCTTAACGATAATTGTCAAAGTTGGAAAGGCCTTCAAATGTGTATTCGGAATAATGACCTCCATATGTTGTTACATTCAACATGTCCGAGAGAGACCCGGGTTGACATGTCCACGTCCACCAACTATATCCACCACTTCCCCGTTTTTCATTCCTTCCCAATCACAGCAGTCTCGGATCCGAGGTTTAGCGATCCACTGTAATGGCGTCAGTCCATCGTACCACGGATCCCAATACCAGATACCACTCACCCTTGGTAATTCCTGCCACTGTGGACTCGAATAGTGCCGCTAGAGTAAGTTTTTCCTTATAGATCTTGAAAAGTGGTACGCTGTATCTCTTCTCAAATGGGATTTTCACTGAAGTCTCTCTACCAAGCCCCTTCGAGATAGAGATCGCTGTATCCCCAATTGCTTTGGACATCTCGCCGCCTAAGTAAGCAGGGGCCGCCTTCAACTGGCAATCCTTCGAAAGAATAGTGTTGGTATTTATGTTAGTAAAGGTGGCATTTATGACTTCGCCAATGACGTGGCCGTGCCGAGCACCCTGATGATCTATCGCACGCCGAGGGGTCAAGTCCTGCCTTTTCCGGGAGGCGAAAAGTTAGTGACTCAATCACCAATACTGTATCAAAGATGCCGAATCCTGGAGCTAATTTATACGCTGCTATGCAGGTCATAATGAGTAGAGAGAGTACAGTCTAGTTGGATTTTCGGATTATTGGTGAGAAACAATACGTCGCCAGCCGCCTCATTGAGCCTGTCTCGGAGCGCATGGTTATGAGGAGGATATTTCGGGACAATTGGTTGAGAAATTTGGTTTGGGGTTGTTGAATTGGACAAGATCGTAATTAGGAAGGGAAGTCATAGGTGGGGGCACTTAGATTGGGAAAGTGGCCACAAAGCTGTTCAATTACCTGGATTATCATTCAAACAACCAAATCACGAGAAGGAAACTTCGAGGATCCAATAGCCAAAAATTTTGCATCATCTCCAGAGTCTAGATGGGTCGACAAAAGTAGGAACGTGCACGCTTGGGGAGTCGGGAACTCGTGTCAGCGTGGAGAGAAGGATACAGCCATAATATTGAAAGGATTTACCCCATGTGATCCAACACGCAATGGAAATGTACGCCAGCGCGGGGACATCCTTGTCTCAGCCTTACAAGGTAATTATCCGAATCACCCCGGCACATTGGCACAGGTGGTATACGCTTCAAAATCGTGTCTGTTGTGGTAACTTCCGCTTATTCACTTCACGGAGCTCTCCTGCTCGGGCTCCGCACCGCCGTGCAGCCGTGCCTCATAATCCAGCGCACGGCCCATCTGACACACAGTCAACTCAAAACTTGTACATCTTTAACACAGTATAACAGCACAAATATACAGGTTATAGAGGCTACGCTAGATCTGTTAATTTTGCCAAAGGCTGGTAAAAACTAAATTAAACAAAGACTGCTAAAAAACATGCAGTATTACTTATAAAGAGTTGTTGATACACTTTTAAAGAGAATAACTTGTTTATACGAAGAAAATTCAACAACTTTGTAACCCTGTTTAAAAACTTTAGCCTTATGACATAGCACTAGTAGATAGATAAGTCTTATAAAACGTAGGACCAGAGGCTAATCAATATTTTAAAACCTTGCTAACTAACCAGCCTTCCCTACCAGCCTTTGCCGTCATGGAAACGCGTCCGCACTGCGTTCCTACGGGAACTATCACTCAAGCGACTTTAACATCTTTAACCTATAGGTCTGGTTGGATGAGGGCTATTTAGGGGAGTGTGCTGCTTTGGAAGACAACATGACACCGCCGAAGCCAAAAAGCGAGGATAATACGGTATTGACCTAGCTACGAGCCGCGTTGAATGCAATCCATGTCCCAAACATACCGACCCGCCGATCTCGTTCACGGTTTGGATTTGCGCTCGTACAATTGAAACATCAAACACCAGGAATCCACATGTTCACATGAACATACGCACGACCTTGCCCATACTTCAGAATCGAGGGAAAGGTATACGACAAGGAATAAATTCCATTCAAACTGTAACACATTAGTAAAACTTCTACATGGACGGAATATCAGCGATTGCCTTCAGTCATGCTTCGAACAGGATACGATTAGAGAAATATCGGATCCTGCTGCAAAGCGCACCTCTAGCCCAAGTCCGGCAGCGATAACCATTACCCCAGCAATTCGGTGTCCAAAGCCACCCCTGCCTGAAGGATCCAAACGGATCACGGACCGCGGATTGCACCCATTATCTATTCGAACTGCACAGTGTTATCTTTACACAGAAGGATTTAGTGTACCTGAAGGCAACATCTCACCTTCTCCATAACCGGCTATAGTGGATTCCTAGGTATTCCTGCACACACGGCGGACGCAATCAGATTTGGGGATTCTAAGAAAGGACACCGCTTAGCGAAGAAGACCGTGCGGCGTTTTTACGTGTAAAAAACACCGAATTGCGAGACTTAAAGGCCAGGTCCTTAGAATAGTCGGCCGCAGGTGCAAGGTATCATATATACTATTCGGCACGCGAATAGCTGTTGGTTGATTATTCGTACCCTTTCGTCGGAGTGGTGCGGAGTCCTCTCTTCATATTAGACACTGTTATTCGTAATATATTATTAGCAAATTACGTAAAGTAAAATTACAGCAACTTAATAGTAGTAGTCTAAAGCAACCTATGCAGATTTGTAATATTTACGTAGATTCTTTTAGCACCTTTAAAATGTTTTTAGTATTATATTAGCATCTATTTAAATCTTAATGCTTATAAAGCTAATATAATTCTGTTAAAACTACTGTAACACTACCTTAGATTAGAGCAGTTATTAAATAATAAATAAAAAGCCTAGCACTATGTTTTATACACAAGTAAACCCTCTAAGTAAGGAGACTAGTAAACTCTGCAAAAAATATTTATACAACAATAATGCATAATATTTTAACTATATTATATAAAGTACGTTACAAGCAAGTTGCTTACACAAGTAAGTTACTTACTTTTGCTAAGACTCTACTAAACTACTTTTTCTATACTAATGCATTTCTAACAACACTACTTAGACGTGCTAAAAGGATATTAAATATAGCTTACACTTTAGGCTTTTAAATAAAACGCAACACTTTTAAAATAACATGCTATAGCTATATATAAAGTCTTTTAAAAGATAATAAATAACTTATATACTAAATAAGTTTTATAAGCTAATTCTATAGCTAACTTATAAAAGCTAAGTAATAATAAAAAGTAAGTAATTATTAAGCCTATGCTTAAGCTATATGCGCTAGGATTTTCCTCTTAGCTAGTAGCTGTAGCTAATATAGCTAATTCTTTACACGCTAAGCATAATCTAGGCTATGTTAGCATAAACTAGCTTAGTATGTTTATAAAGTGTTATTTAAAGCTTAAAGTAAAGTTTAAGTGTAAGTATAACTATAAAAAAGCATTTTATAACAATTCTAAAGTAATTTAAAGCTATTTTAGCCTTATAAAAAATATTAAAGCTAAGTATAGTATCTAGAATAATAGCATGTATGACTTTAAAAAAAATAGGCTTTATAATAAGCTAAATATCTACTAACTATACTGTTGCATACAGCTATCCGTCTATATATATCCTTCTGCTGTGCTAGCTAGAAGGTTAACCTTTTAGCAAAACGCAACATATACTTATACCTAAAACTTTACTTTAAGATTTAAATAACACTTTATAAACATACTAGGCTAGTTTATGCTAATAGAGCCTAGATTATACTTAGTGTGTAAAGAATTAGCTATATTAGCTATAGCTACTAGCTAAGAGGAAAATTCTTACATATAGCTTAAGCATAAGCTTAATGATTACTTACTTTTTATTATTACTTAGCCTTTATAAGTTTGCTATAGAATTAGTCTATATAAGTTATTTAGTATATAAGTTATTTATTATTTTTTAAAAGACTTTATATATAGCTGTAGCATGTTATTTTAAAAGTATTATGTTTTATTTAAAAGCTAAAAGTGTAAGCTATATCTAATGTTCTTTTAGCACGTCTAAGTAGTGTTGTTAGAAATGCATTAGTGTAAGAAAAGTAGTTTAGTAAGGTTTTAGCAAAAGCAAGCAACTTAGGTGTGTAAGCAACTAGCCTGTAACGTACGTTAGTAATAGGTAACTTATAACGTAAACTATTACTAAGCTAGACAAAATCTTAGCGAAACTAACACTAGACTAGCTTAATAAAAATGTAAAATTATCTCTATATATCAACTCTACTACTTACACTAGTTTAATTGTGCATATAATGCTGCTATAACTTATAGTGTACTATTTTAGCAGCTTTAAGAATAGTTTTACAAAATAATATTTTAATATAAAATATAACTTAATAGATTTAAACTTAGTATAACTAAAAAGTAGATAATTATATAACATTAAATATTACTAGCTAGATAAAGATTTTAGTGTAACTAATACTATAAGTAAAAACATAATTTTATTTATAGCTAACTAAAGAACCTGTATGCAATGTGCTGATATCTAATTCTAATACTTTTTCTCTATTCTTTTTATATGTGCAAGTGTTATGCCTAGTCTTTCTATATTTTTGGCAGCGCTGTTAGCTTAGTAGAGCTGTTAGCTTAGTAGAGCTAGTATTTGCAATAGTCACACGATAGTTGAGTGCGTCGTCACCATGGTCGGATGCGTTGTCACCATGGTCGGATGCGTCGCCACCATAGTTGTATGCATCTCACCATAGTCTATGATGCTAAGACTCACCTACTTATTTCATATATATATTGACTCCTACAAAGGACTCCTCTAGCGATCAATTCAATCTAGTTCCTCATGCCTCTAGTGCTTCACATAGCTTCACAGCTAGTTTAGTAAAATACTACAATAGTTTATAAATAAGCTATAAAAGCAAAGCTTGCTTAGACTAATAGCTAGCGCATTAAGGTGCGTTGTTTAGGTTAAAGAATAGTTGCAGCATAATGCTTAGCAAAGTAGTATTAGACAGGTAATAGACATATAACAACAACATTTAACTATAGCGTGTAACTAATTACAGCCTATAACTAAGCGTAGCTAATACTAATCTCTAACACACAAATGTAGCTAATGCTAATCTCTAACATACTAATGTAACTAATGCTAATCCCTAACACACTAATATACCTAAAAAGATTGAATAAATATAACTAACTATAATTTAAAGATGTGTTATATAACATATACTAGAGTAAACTACATGTAAATTAATATAAAAGTGCACTTATATTAAGTATACATTTTTTTTAAAAAAATAATATAAGAAATATATAAAGTAATAAAAAATAGTATTACTAAAGTTTATTAAAAAAAAAGTGTAACTAACTAGTGTGTTGAAAAAAAAGATTTTATTTAACTTTTTATTTTATAAACTTAAATATATTAAGTAAAGTAAGCTTTGCTAATAACTTACTTTATTTTTTAGTAATACTATAAAAATAATAAAATTATTACTATGTTAATACTTTTTTACTTGTTACACTTTTTATTACTACTTAATATAGGCTATTTTACATTTTTAAAAAAAGTATATAAGCGCTAAGCTAAAAACTTTATATATAACTAAATTACTGATTATAAAGTAAGCTTATAAGTAAAGCAATACTTAAAAGTAAATAATAGCTAGCTTATTCTTAGCTTTAATTAGGTTAATAAAAAATTCTTTTTTAAAAACTTAAAGTTTATGTAAATTTAAAATTAGTTATTTAAAAATTAGTTAATTATTAGCTATAATTAAGAGAACACGTTTTAGCCCTAGCTCTTACCGCGTTCCTGCCTCTGCAATAGTCTTCCTGTTCTTTGCACCTTGCAGTCTCTAGCGTTGCGCCTGTTCCTTTCACCGCCTAATACCGCCACAACACGCCTAATACTGCTACCTAATATCTTTAATTTAATTGTTTTAGCATTAAAGCCCTAGTTGTAGAGCTGTAGCTTGTGTAGTTTGTTGCCTCTGCAGGAATTTCTTAGAGTGCTAGGGAGCTCTAGCGCTGCCTCTGCCTCTGCCTCTGCCTCTCTATGGCCGCAAAGATTAATGTAGTACATGTAATACCTTAACAAGCTGTTTTGCTTACACAACTGCTAGTTTAGCTTCTTTAACTACCGTTTAAATATAATAGGCTAATGCCTAGAGATGCTAGTAAGAGATTACCTAGCAGCGTTAGGAAATGCATAAAGCAAATTGCAGCAAATTGCAGCAAACTACAGTAGATTACAGCAGCAGGCAGCAATCCCTAGTAGATATTAGTTGTGTTGCAAGTAGCTCTACGTATAGAGAGGGTTCTAGGGGGGTAATGCCTCTAGACAAAAAGCCTTAAAAAGGGCAGCAATAATTACGCAGAAGCTAGTGTTAGCGTAATAGGAAATTACTAAGCTTTAAGCAGCTAATAAGGCAGCTACATTTAGAAAGGCCTGCGCTTAACAGCTCTAAAGGAGTTTAGGGCGCGCAATGACAGAAAGAAGGCAAAGAAGCAGGTGCAAGCTAAAGTAGGTGAGCAATCCTAAAGGCGCTGCGGACAGTACAATTAGACTAGGCATAACGCGCAAACGTGTAAGCAAGAAGTAGAAGTAGTATCTAAATAATATTCTAGGCTGTACTGTACTATATAGTGCTAGAGCGGGTTTTTATGCTAATTTAAAACTAGTTTAGCTTTATAAAAAATATTAAAGCTAAGTATAGTATTTAAAATAATAATATATATAACTTTAATAAATAGGCTTTATACTAGGCTAGATATTTACTAACTATACTTATACTTAAAACTTTACTTTAAGCTTTAGATAATGCTTTATATACATACTAAGCTAGGTTATGCTAATATAGCCTGAATTATACTTAGCGTGTAAAGAGTTAGGTATATTAGCTATAGCTGCTAGCTAAGAAGAAAATTCTTATATATATAGCTTAAGTATATGCTTAATAATTACTTACTTTTTATTATTATTTAGCTTTTATAAGTTAGCTATAAAATTAGCTTATAAAAGTTATTTAGTATATTAGTTATTTATTATTTTTTAAAAAAATTTATAAATTACTATAGTATATTACTTTAAATATTTTAAAAAGCTTAAAGTATAAGCTATATCTAATATTTTATTAGCATGTTTAAGTAGTTGTTAGAAATGCATTAGTATAAAAAGAGTAGTCTAGTAGGGTCTTAGTAAAAATAAGTAACTTAGGTATGTAAGCAACTTGCCTATGGTGTACGTTAGTAATTTGTTTTTAAAACCTACTACTTTACATAGATTAAGCATAAATCTTTATATATTATAGTTAAAATGTATTATGTAATTATTTACTTTTGTTGTAACTATAGTAAGTGTAAGGCTATTAAGTTATATTTTATATAAAAATGTAACTCTATAAAGCCAATCTATAAGATACTATGTACTTGTAAAGAAGTGTTATGATTGTGGCTTTAAAGTGCTTCTTCCGTGAGGACGAAGGCTTCAAGGTTCTCTAGGAAGAGTCGCGCGGGGAATTAGACTAGACTGAGTCGAGGGTGGACATGACAGTGCTCGCCCCGGGGGAAACCTATATGCGTATGATTATTGCTTGGTAGAGAGTAAGAATGCTGATAGGAGCTGGGCTGAGACGGATCATCACCCGAGCCGACATTTTGTCAGTACAGAAAACCAGTCTAGATAGGTCTACGGCATCGTCCACATTAGACTTTACGTTCAATTCCTCACTGCCATTATAGGGGTTCTTACAGAGTTTGTAGTAGTCTACACATACACAGCAACGTCAAAGCGATCACAACCATGTTTGGGAACATGGAGCGTCAGTCACTCCCTTTTTTGTTATTAAAGAGTCCGTACACTAGGAGGCGGCGTGGTGGTGGGGGATGTCTTGCTATTCTGTTTTGCCAAAGTTGTTCCGCTTAGGCAGTTGCATATGTTAACTAGTTTTTCCGGTCTCTTACATTGAACAAATGGAAAGCTGTATCCATATAATGACTCTCTTCTGCTCGTGCTAAATAGAATATTCCGCTCTTGTGCTCACCGAAACAGACCTGGGACTCAACAGAGGATCCCGAAGGTCAAATTACGTATCTTTCCTCCAACGTAACCTTTAGGGGGCCATCTTTCCACAAGAATGGGGCCCCTAAGCTAAGCATGCAGCTGACTTTAACCTGCTCGTGGCCTCCTGCTGAAGGTGCCTGGAGCGCGTTGCCGTATTTTCCACCCTGCGCGTTTACGTTGGCGTCCTTGCTGGGCAGCAGCTCAACCATTCTATTGTGCCCGCTCTTCGCCGCGAGGTATAACAGAGTCTGACCAGACTCGTCTCTTCTTTCTTCTGTGGCCGCTATTTCTCGAACTTGGCTTTGCATTATGGCCTTTGATACATTTGACAGCCCAAATTGTGCTGAAAGAAACGAGCAAGCTAGCCTACGCATCTCGCCTTCAACAGTTTCCACGTGTTCTCCCCAGTACGTCGCAGCATAGTGAAGGAACCTGTTTTGCTGGAGCCTATACTCAAACTCCTTATCAGAAGAACAGCTACCACTTTTGAAAACGTCAAAGGACAGATATGTCAGGCATGTGGTGGCGATATCCTTCTGAGCGTACGGATTCCATGTATCTCTAATACGCTCACAGTATTCTTGTGTGGTGTAGTGCACAAGACGGATAACGGTGCTTTCTTGATCAACAACGACAAGGCCAGCGCACACAGACACCAGGTCTTCAACGTCGTGTTTATTCTCTTGGTCAAGCTCCGCCTTTTCTGGCTCTACCGCTATGGTGCAGGATATCTCATCTGTCGTAATTGGTCTTTTTGCATATGTAGTCCACGATATGATCTTTTTGGCTAGTTCAAAGCCGCCGCTTAGCTGGCCTTCAATCCTCTGGATGGCATGTTTATATGCATGATCGAGCGTGACCGAGCCTTTTGAGAGTCCAGCTAGAGTCAACGTTACGTCTTTTGCTGTTCGTTTGTCTAATAAAGAATCTGTGTGCAAGCGAGCGAGAAGAAACCTAAGAACGCATAAGTTAATGTTTATAAATAATTCAAAATTCATACATTGTATCCACTGCGCCTGCGATCTTTTCTTGCACCATTTGCTGCAGCGCAACGTCACGCTGGATGTATTTAGGCAGTCGGTACATCTGGCCAGCCACAAAGCGCTTCACGTCCTCACTAGCTTGCACCTCTAGCCTTAGTGCTGCCCTGAACTTATCTTCAATCTCTGGTATAAAACGCGAGGTAACCATTAAGCGAATGTCTCGCACTGCCTGTAGGTCTTGAAGTTTGGTTAGAAACCGGTGACGTGCGGCGTCTTGACACTCGTCCAGAGTATCGACCACAATATAGATAGTCGAGTAATGTTAAAGTACATCTAGAAGAGCACTAAACACCTCGTCGAGTGATGGCTTAGTCCCTCGGTCGGTATGCTGCCTGTACAGGCGCTCCACGGGCTCTACAATCGATGGTCGAGCCTGCACTAGCTGCCTAAGGATAGCTGCTAGCATACTGGTAGCATCTTGCTCCTCCTGCGCTTTGTAGTTGCAGTACACATAAGTGACTCCACAGAAGCTATTTTGCGTTGACTTTAAAAGATAATCAATCGCGATGGCTGCTATCATGGTCTTCCCGGCTCCTGGGATTCCTGGGCAGAAAAGAGTTGCTTTAGCTTCGCTGAGCCATCTTGCTACCTTATTCGCGTCTAGAAACCACTGGCCTGTTCCTTTCTGTTTACGCTTTATAAAGTCGGATTGTTGAGCGGGGTAATCTGTACACGGCATCGAATCGAGAAGCCTGCGGTGCTCCCCGTCGCCATGGTGTTTAATAGAACGTAACTGTTACTATCAGTAGTCTTTTTGGGGCGTTACTGGCGGCAATAGGGTTTCGTTCTTACGGAGAGAGTGAATTAAAGCGGCCTTACGGGCAGTAACAGTTACTGCAGTAGCTGGCGTTTCTAGAGGCTCTTAACACAATCTTGCCAATATAGTCGCGGAGATTGTTCCACTCCAAGATTGTGGAAGGAAATAGCTGCAATTTAGCTCTTGACACGATATCTAAGGCCCCCAGGTTTCAGCTGGCGACCTCCAGCCCAGATAATGTCCCACTTAATGTTAGAATTTAGGCTGTTAAGGCAAGAGTCCTTAGGAAACTTGTAAGGATAGAATCACTAGTAAATAAGGCCTTAATTATAGAGCTCTAGGAGCTTCTAGAGGAAGCCCTTAACGTCTTAAGGCAATAAGAGCTTGCAAAGTGTTAAACTAGTGCTAAAAGCTTTAAGTGCTACGTGGAGTTTAGCACACATATAGTAACAATAAAAGCAATATTAGAAGTAAGATGTAGGTAAATTAAGGAGTTACTTTACTGTTCTGTACTAACAATAGATAGGATAGTTAAAAAAGTACAAACTCTAGTGTATTAGTGCGCGCTTAGCCCTTATACTGCTACGCGTAAAAACGTTCTCTGCAAACGCGTTAACAAAACACTAAGAAATTAATTAGTATACGCAGTTACTGCAGTAACTATAGCCTTATTAACTGTACAGTAACAGAAGGCCATTCACTTTTGTTGTACCTGCTAAGAGATTGTTACTATCAGTAATAGTAGGAACAGTGTTACGTTCTATTAAACACCATGCTTGCTTCTCAGCACCGTTGATTGTGAGCTTCTTGCTCTTGAGTGGCTAACAAGACCTCCGCTAAAGGTTGAGAGAAGCTTTGACAACAATGGCGATAATTCCCTCCATTCGAATTACAAGCTTTGAGCACACAAGGCTGAATCTGTCGTAGCATCTCCACCTCAGTTTCCACTCCCCAGTTCTTCTTCTGGGCTCTCACGTTTATCCCACTTCTTTCAGCAATGCAAATGTCCTACTATTTGAGAGTGCTAATCGATCAGTTCTGTTATGAGCCAGTTAGCGCTACCGAACACATAGGGGGCCACGTGACCGAACAGAACTGGCCGAAGCTATCGCAGGGTAGTTATGGAGCTGACGGATAATAGAGGAGGGCATATGGAGTTACGAGTAGTCAACTAGGTGATGAGAGCCAAACAAGGTCGATTCAGCTGAGAAGTAAGGTCTCTCGGGTTCATATAGTGGATAAAAGAGCCCCAGTCCTAATCGGGTATGCCGTAGTCCTCAATGGGAAATAGGTACATTCACTGAGATTATAGTCACGTGAACAACTGTCACGTGCGACAGAACCAATTCGCTGCCTGAATTCGAATGCTTCCTATCGAAGTTCTCCCGTCCGACTCATCTCAGTGAACTCCGTCGGCCACCCTGTCAAACCCTACTGACTCTAGCGATCTGCGATATAAGTACTGCATACATTGCTGCGCAAGCATTTCTCGACGAAAAGCATGAAGGACCAGACTATGTGTCTCTCAATGACAATAACGATTATACGCTAGGTAAGACTAGGAAACACAACTTTGTCATCTCCGTCCTTCCCCACGGGATATGCTGCACAGTTTTCCTGAGGTTAAAATTGGTCTGATGGTAGGCATTAGCGGTGGTGTACCAGCCTAAAGCATGACATCCATCTTGGTGACATCGTGTTAGGTGCTACTAGTGCCAGGTAGGGTAGGGTATCCCAATACGGCTTAGGGAAAACGATATAATATCAGGAGTTCCAAGAGAAGGGATTCTTGAGCCAGCCACACACAGCTCTGTGGGCGGCAGAAAATGGACTCATGGCGGCCCACAAGATCGACGGAAATGGGGTTCAACGGGCAGGAGCACAAACAACCAGACCCAAGCAGCGACAGATTGTATCAACCCCCAGTCATTCATCCTCCAAACGACCAAGCAGACTGTGCGACTGCGTGTGGTGATGATCCATCGAAACTGATGGCGCGACGCGAACGCACTGAAGACAATGACAATCTAGCAATTCACTACTGTCTACTTGCTTCGACGGGCCTATTCATGAAGGCTGCTCTTCTTTAGGATAAATCTGCAAAGGAATGGGACGTCCTGCGTTTTGAAATAGAAGCGGTAGGACTGATAAACCAATTTCCTTGTCTGGTAAATTGCGGTATCTGTAACTACTCGGACACACACATGAATAAGAAATGGCAAAGACATGCACCAACAGTAGCTACTGCATACGTAAAAGATCTTCTCGGCCAAATCGCCCTAAATATTGTGGAAGCGGAGAAGAGGGCCGGTGATATGCTTCCTAGTACGTTTAGGTTCATCTAAAGATCAGTTTATCTAATACTTAGCTGCATATGTTCAATAGATGTCTGCGGAAAGGTTAAGGAGATGTCGCGACGCGTTGACAGACTTCTACGGGAGCGACATGATCGGGAGCGTGACGCCATTCATACCTGGATCATGCAAACTGACTGCGGACATCAGAAAAGAGGGCACATCAAGAGGCGAGGGCCGGGAACTGGCCAATGGTTTCTAAACTCAACTGAGTTCCAGGAATAGGTGAAGGCTAGAGCGAAGACATTATTCTGCCCAGGCATTCCTGGTGCGGGAAAGACTACGACAACATCTGTTGTTATAAAACACCTCTGTACAAAACATCAGAATCACGAAAAACTTGGCATCGCATACATGTACTACAATTTCCAAAGACAGTAGCAATAGAAGCCAGAACATCTCCTCGCGAGCCTGTTAAAACAGCTAGATCAACGGCAGTCTTCCACACTTAAAGGCTTAAAGACGCTTCTAATTCGTCTCAGCCGTTAAATATATGATTTCAAGGGTGTTCAAGTGTCATTAACCTAAATAGGTAATGAATCAAGTCAAGTTGAACCTTGAAAACGCTACAAACTTGCTTGTTGACAAGTCTGGCCGTAATGGAGTTTTAGGACGCTAACTATGAGTAGGAAGGTAATAAGACGCTCCGCAAGTCATTTACGGCGCAGTGTAGCCGCTATCGCACGATAACCGTGGTTATTATGATAGGGGTTGCATCGCGGTGGAAGGCAAGCGGAGGGCACTTGCGCCAGGATAAATGGTGCTCAACAAAGCCGCCGCGCCCCCGAAATTCAAAATTCAGACGATAACTCCACCCGTAAACCACTGAAAATCAAAGCAGCCTGCCATCGACACCCCCTCACTCGCGGGTGCATTCCACTGTTTCCATGCTGTCGCGCCTTGAACAAAACCCACCACGAGCCCGGCACATCTACCTAACTTCAGCTCTTACGCCGCATCACTCGTATTGCCGCACATGATTTTACGTCCGGCGCGGCAACCTGGCAACCTCAGCCATAGAAGCTTGTTGCCCGGCTAAATTCTTGGGCGAAATGCTTTTCTAAACTCCCAACCTTCTTCCACTCAACGCGATTATTATGTTCGGGATGTTCGCAAACCTTTAAGGTATAGCGGTAACTATCATGGTGATTTCACTCAGAGACAATGCCGTTATGAGGGCCCACCCCGGGTAGTGCCGAATCGTTCTGGTAGGGATTTAAATGTCGCATTCTCTCATCCATGAAATTTTCTACCTTCGAAGAAGCACCAAGCTTCTAAGTTGGCGCATCGAACAGGAATACATCCACCCGCAATAAATATCTACCAATGCGAGATCTCGCATGATTAGGAAGTCGAGGCCGTCGTAGTGCGCAGCCTTTGGGTTGATGTGGTTTCCTTCCAGACCCACCTCAGCACTAGAAGCTGCAGCCAACCGTCCTCTATGCGCATTTACCCCGGTCACGATCGCCTCCACTCTACGCCTTGATGGTCCCATGGTGTCGGACTTCATTTTCAAATAGCTCACAACCTGTCCTGCAACGGTCTCTTCTATTGAGATCTTCCATCCGGCCTAAAAATTTCGCATTCACCCTTAGCACGCCAACCCACCGTTCATGTACCGGGAATATCACTCGAGTGATCAGCCATTCCTGGGTTACCCAACTCGGCGTGCAATATCCCGCCTCCTTCCGATATTGATGAGGCTCCGGGTTTCCGTAATAACGCAATGAGATCCGAATACAGGGTGTCGCATCCTTGCACCACGCTATTGGTCGGAACAATCCAATTTTAATCTACCATCGCATGCAACAAACTTCTGCGAAAGTGTAGTAGTATGGAGAACCGCTCCGCAAACATCTTCCCCACAATCAGGTCAAGGCTATATGAAATGGAATTCCATATAATGTCTCTAGAACCCGCTTTCCTGGTCCAGAGGATTTCAAGGTTTGCTTTCGACGCGTCGGATCACTACCATGGGACTCATCAACCATCTCAAATCCGGCAACTCAAAGGGCGCGGCGGGCGACCCGGTGCTCTCTCGCATTGTTGAAGAAGACAAAGTCTCATGGATCCGGAAACCGAATTTGCGAAACCTGTACTTTCTGCTTGTTCCTGCAGCCATTGGGATTGAGATCACGTCGGGTTTTGACTCGCAGCTGATCAACGCGCTTCAAATTGTACCGTCATGGATCAAATGTACGTCGATGCAAACCATGCTGCAACGAACGAATCCTTCCAGCTAACTTTGGCTTCGAGATTACCACCATCCAGAAGGCTCGTTGAAAGGAATTATCGCAGCAGCATACTCCCTTGGTGCTATCCTCTCACTACCTTTCATCCCCTGGGTTGACGATAAGGTCGGCCGCCGCGGATCTATCTTGGTTGGTTCAATCATTATGGTAATCGGAGCCATCATCCAGGGCTTTTCCAACCATGGTACAGTCCCTTCCTTCCACTCTGTTCCCTACTGCTAATAAAATTTTCCTAAGTCGCCATGTACATCGTCGCCCGTCTCATCCTAGGCTTCGGCATCCCTGCCTGCATCGTTGCAGGCTCGTCCCTAATCGGCGAACTCGGCTACCCTAAAGAACGGCCCATCCTCACTTCTCTCTTCAACGTCTCCTACTTCGTCGGCCAAGTCATCGCCGCTGGCATCGTCTTCGGCACCAACAGCATCAAAAGCGACTGGGCCTGGCGCATCCCCTCGCTTCTCCAACTCGCTCCTTCGGTACTGCAAATAGTTTTTGTGTTCCTGCTCCCCGAAAGCCCGCGTTGGCTGATAAGTCACGACCGTATTGAAGAGGCGGAGGCTATTCTTGTGAAGTACCATGCGGAAGGGAATCCGGAATCGGAGTTTGTGAAAGGCGAGATCGAACAGATTCGTGCGACTATTCAGCTTGAGGCGGAAGCGGCGAAGAAGTCATGGTTAGATTTACTCGCGACGAGTGGGATGCGGAGACGCACATTAATTACGTCCATGTTGGGGCTATTTACGCAGTGGTCTGGGAACACGCTGATTTCGTACGTCCGCGATTGTCAACCCCAGTTTTAACATTAATGGGAGAGGAGATGCTTACAATATTTGCTAGCTACTTCTTCGGAGATCTCATGACTATGATTGGCATCAAAGACAGCATCACCAAGCAAAAACTCAACGTAGGCTACGCCTGCTGGTCGCTCATCACAGGTGGTGCCGTCGCGCTTGTTGTCACCCGATTTAAACGTCGTTCGCTGTACATGTTGTGTACACTGTCACTGTTGTGTGTGTATACGGGATGGACGATTAGTATGCAAAAGGCGACGTTGGGGGAGAAGAATAAACATCATAACAAGGGGGCGAGCATCGCGAGCGCTTTTTTCATCTTTGCGTATCAGCCTTGTTATAATATCGGATTCAATGCGTTGACGTATAGTAAGTTTGAGGCCAGTTTTCTTCGGTTTTCTCTTACCTCTCTCCTCCGTGTCCCTGCATCCCTTTCCCTAATCTCTTCCCCGCCTTCAGGTTCAATTCAAGATACTACGCCCCTTTCCCTGTCCCCGCACCCTTTCCCGCCGTGCCAATTCTAACTGCAACTTAACTGTTCTTCCCTTTTCCAATGCCAATCCTCCCCCATCCCCACCCACCAATCCTATCCCTTTCTATTCTGGCCGACACAATTGCCCCTCCCCTGTCAACCCTACCCTCCTCGATAGAATTTCCCGTCCCTCTCCCCATCCTATTACTTCATTTTAACCACCTAAATCTCCGCACAACCGACCACTAACTCCTCCCTCTCCCAGCGTACATGGTCGAAATATGGCCCTACACCGAACGGTCGCGCGGGATTGCGGTATTCCAACTCTTTGGACGGCTCGCAGGGTTCTTTACGACGTTTGTTAATCCGATTGGACTGAGGAATATTAGCTGGAAATGGCTAATTGTTTATTGCTGTTGGCTCGCGTATGAGGTTGTGTTTGTTTGGTTCATATTTCCTGAAACCGCTGGGAGAACTCTTGAGGAGCTTGCTTTCCGTAAGTGGACTGTTCTTCAATGGAATGAGAAGGGTTCCTCTACCCCCCTGTCGCTGATCTATCTCTCCTTATTCCTGCCTAGCCATTCGCTAACCGTCTCCCTTTATAGTATTCGAAGACGAAGAACGCGCACATCTAGCTGCAGAGGCCGTCGAGAAGACACTACATGCAGACGATAAATTAAGTGTTCACGATAAGCACTTAGAGCACCGTCTTTAGCGGGATCATTGCGAGGAGACGAGGAAGGCGGGAGATTGAATGGGGTATAGTAGTGACAGGGAATTCATGGTTCGGTATGTTAGGCAGGCTTTTGGGCTGGCTACGATTTGGACTGCTAGATTGTTGGGCATGGGAGTGTAGGGGTGAGATTGCCATGGCATGTTCCTGGGACTTGATTATTGAGCGACGAGGCGAAGATTCGAAGGCAGCAGCAGGAGTTGGAGGCTTAGGACCAGGATATGGTTTGGTCGAAGATTTAGGTGTGGTATATATAGCGAGCGGTTTTTGTATGTACGGCCCGGGGCAATGTTAATACTAACCTTCCTTTCTTTTTCAATCAATTAGAGCCGCTAGGTTTGAACCCGAGTGGGTCTGCGAACAGTCGACATCCTTCTTCCAAGTATATCGACTGATTTTACCGAGTACCTTATCGACCTTCCGGGCCCGGATTTCGTTTAGGATTCCGAAGGATGGATAAAGGTTGATCTGCTGTTGAGATTGGCGTTCTGGTTTACGTGATATCTAAACTCTCGGGGTGTGTATATTTTTCAAACCATGGGGAGTGGATAAAACGAGAGAGGTAAGTCGTTTACGAAAAGACAACCGACCAAGACGTACAATCACAGAAAAGCTTAGAAGCTTACTAGTCTCTGCACTATTGACACTATTTACCCGAATTTATATTAACGAATGAATGGGTGCCGATGGAAGAGTTGGGGTTTGTAAGTTAGCGGCTAGTAGTAGCTTTTAGGCTGCTAGCACCTAGTAATACTTGGCTACATTTCATTGGTGATTTGCCTTCCCAGGCGTTAGAGCTCTCGATGAGGGGGTCTAACTGTTAGTATGATAAGCAAGAGCTTCTAACTAGTTAAGCCTTAGGTAACGCAAACGATACCCTACCAATAAGCCGAAGCCACCTATACTTCTAGTACAACTTCCTCTGCTCTATTGGGAATTGTGATTACGGACTAAATCTAATATGGCTGGAAATAAGCAGCAAAACTAGTGACTGCAATGCATAATTACTATCCTACACGCGAATTAACTATTGGTTGTGATAGTGGAGTGGTGTGGAGTCCCGTAATTACAGTAACTAGCTAAGAACATCTTACCCCATCTTACCCTACTTCAACTATTAATCAGCTGCTTAGATGTATTTAAATTATTAGCGTGCGGGTGCTTACAACTAGAATGGAAAAAATTCTCACCATCAGTTACAAGTTTTAAAGTCACTGTAGCTCCCACTCGTTCATATTAACGACTGCAGGAAGTACGTCTCCTGTTTCCGGGTACGTTTACCACAGTAACTCTTTATCTAGGGACTTCTGACTCCTTTTTTTAGAGGGTTTCTGTCGCCGCTTTTGGAGTCACTAGCGCCTAAAGTGCCAAGTCTAACCCCTATAACACCGTGAGCTCTTATTCGCTGCTTCTGTACTGCCCTATGCTTTTATTACTTCCTAGACCCTAAAATTAGCGGTAACTTAATGAGTCCAAAGTGGCCCTATATCTATCTTGCTGATGTATCGATGTTGGGCGAAACATCTTGATCCCTACAAGTAAATCATTAACGCTTTCTACTAAAGAAAAACTTTACCGGGCATGGCCTAAGCGTGACCCAAAGAATCTCCGCTTGCTATCAGAGTTATAAGGTTTGAGGAGTTTCGCCAACTATAATATTGTCCACGCTTTCTCCACCATGCCCACTTCACAATAATATTGTCTTGTCTATATATAGAAAGGCCTAGCGTGCTCGTTCGCTCACTATCCATAAACCCACTGACTTTTGCTTGCACCCTATCATGCTATATAGCCCCCTTCCTAATCCTATTTAATGCAGCTCCTATTACATTTAGCAGACCGTGTCGCACGTGTTTCACGCGATACTATACCCGTGTACTGCGCTATTCACTCATTAGGACTAGCTTCTTCTTCGTACAGTATATAGTCAGCCCAGAGCTCTCTCTCGCTCCTTAGACCATACAATACACTGGTTCAATTCACCTTGTTTGGATCTCAATACCTTGTCCACTCGCCTACTATATGGCCCCTCTCAGCTCATGCGAGAGACCGTTCTGTTTGGTTTGCTGTCGGTCTGCCCTGTTAATTGTAACTCAAGTAGCTGTAGTGCACAGGCTTCACTTTTGCTATATTCTCTACGGATATTGTATTACATCTTTGTTAGCAGGGCTGGGGTTAAAGTAGTGTGAAAAAGTTGATTGTTGTGTTTGCATTGTGTGATGTATGTGTAGAAGTTGTTTGTCGAGAGTTATATGAGATTAAGTGGTATTTAAAGCGTAGTTGGGTGCCAAGATGGCTGTGGAGCTAATAGGATCCTGCTTACAATCTTGAATATCGAATTCTAGGCCGTGAACAGGTTCCTTAACGTCAGCGCTAGCTTTAGAACTACACAAATGCTAGATGGCATTCTGCTAGTAGTAGTAGCTAAGCTGAGCTACGTAATTACCAAGAATTATTATAGTGTTAGGATTCATTTTCTAACCCACCTTAAATTAGGATATTTTGGCACAAGATTATGTGCTGCAGAGCACCTTACCTAATCTTGTATCCCCTTTTATGAAACAGGGAATCCACCTGACTTTGCAATTTGCTATAAATAGATAGTTATGTAAATTCTAGAACTATTCCGGTTAGGGTTAGGGCCTAAGCATCGGTGTCAACACTAAGAACTCCAAAACAGGCTCTAACAAGGCTAACTTTTTCATTTTTCCATAAGCACGAAGTGCTCTACTTTTCTTCTTATTCGTGTATTTGCCCTCCCACTTCCTCTCCTTCCTCTTGACCCTCAACAGTAAACCTGGCATCCATAGATGAAGTCGTTGCTCGGGGAGCCAAGAATCAGCCTAATATATTGTGCCATCTAAGTCATCGTACACGTGGCTAGAGTCAAATTTTCACAGTTGGGAGAGTAAGCGAAACACGCTATCGGGTATTAGAAATTGCTGCACTAAGGGCCGTGTTGCTGTGATACTTCTAAAGCACCTCGTGTCCAAACTCGATCGTTCTTTCTCCGCAACATCTTTTTTTTATTATTACTACTGTACGTGATGCTTCTTGCATGCGTATTAATATTACCAACTTACTTATTAGTTCAATAAGGCTTTATTACACTTGGTATTTTCAATCGCAGGATCCTAAGAATATGTCAGGTAACATTAGGGCAAAGAGGGAATGGCGAAAACGCGCCCATGTTTGAGTATTATGTAGTTCTAAGCATTAGGTGGCAGATCTGTTGAAGGCTCAATAGTAGATTACCTAAGAACATTCTGTCGCACGTGTCTCACGCGATATCATACCCATGTACTGCATCATTCACTCATTAGGCATAGCTCCTCTCTCGTACAGTATATAGTCAGCACAGAGCTCTATCGAGCTCCTTAGACCTTACAATACACTCGTACAATCCACTTTGTTTGGATCTCACTATCTTGTCGACTCGCTTCCCATATGACCCCTTCTCAGCTCATGCAAGACATTCCCCTGCAACGCTAATTTTCCCGGGACGACTTCCTTGGGATGTTAAGTGTTCCAGGACGCCAAATTCTCTCGAGGCCGATTTCCCTCAGAGACTAATTCTACTGGGAGGATTTTCCTAGGATGCGGATTCTCCTAGGACGCTAACTTTCCCGAGACCGATTCTCCTCAGAGGCTAATGTTGCAAGTGGCAAGGTTAACCTCCTACCAAGTACAGCAGAAGAATATATAAGCGGAAAAAAATGCACGCGCGACAGTTAATTCTCCTCGGACTAGGACGCTTAGGCGCTTATCCCCAAACACCGCTGCATGATCTATGCAGCTTCCTAAACAGCTATTTAACGATGAGCTAAAGGAATCCTCTATCGACGCGATTTTATACCCAATTTAATAAAGCTTAGTAAGGTAGAAGAGCACGTCTTGTTGCGAACACACTTGCGCTAGACGCACGAGGATTTTCGTCTCGGCTGCTAAATGTAGGATTTCTGTCTGTGTGTTAAATATGGGCTGTGGACCTTCTAAATACAAGTGCGACTATAGCTGTGGTAGCGCGTCATGTGGTAGGTTTTAAGTGTGGAGTGATTGAGTTGCAACCTGTTAGATCAGTGTATCGTATCGTGTCGCGAAAAAGCATCCACGAGTTAAAAACTAGTCGCTGCTAAGTGTATTCATTTCCGCTGTGGAAGCAACGGTTTTAAACCGCATCTGTGGGTTGGAGCCGTTGTCGCACGTGTCTCACGCGATATCATACCCATGTACTGCACACACCTGAGATCAATTAATCAAGCAAGCTGGCAGTTTCTGGCTTAATTAATTGCGTTTTAGTATAAGGTTTAGCTAGATTAATTAAATTAGCTTAGCAGAAAGTTGCTAGCTTAATTAGTAGCTTAGGTGCTTAATTTCTAAATAGAAAAGTTGTATATATTTTTTAGTGTTAAGTCTTAGCTGTTGTCCTATGTATCTAGATTATTGTCTTTGCCTACCTACTTACTAAGCTTGTACAAAACGTCTATCTGCTTGTTAGTAAGCTTTAATTAGCCTATATTATTGTTGTTGCTGCTACTAAAACTAGCCTATCTCTATTATTATACTAAGTGTAGTGCTGCAAGTAGCTTAGGTAATATATAGTGTTAGTAAGGCTTTAGTAGATCTTTAAGCTTACTAAAGACGCGCTTACACTTACAGCTTAAAGCTAGTATAAAGAGTATTATAAGCGCTATCTTACTAAAGTTAGGATATTAATTGCGCAGCCTAAACTAGTATTATATAGGATTAGTGCTCTTACTAATAATTAGCTTACGCTTTTACTACTTATACTTATCCTTTTTAGTATTGCTATGTGTAGGATTAATAATGCTATTAATTATATTATTAATATTGCTTAGTTTTTTTAGTGCGCGTGTGTAGCAAGGCCTTAGTAACAGTAGTAACTTATAATCTACTTATAGTGCCTAGAAATTAAGATTATTAGATGCTAGCTAATTAAACTTCTTAGCCTACACTTAATTACAGTAGTGTTTGTAGTAAAAATAAAGTATTATAGTAGTATAGTAAGCTAGCAAGTTGTTAAGTTTAGCGTAGTACTTATTTACTTTAAGCAGCGCTGTGTGTAGATTAATAGGAAGATAATCTTTAAGCGCCTTATTATAAGTGTTATAGACTACACTATTATAGTAGAGAAGGTAAGCTTTTAATTAAGTAAGTAGAAACTTAAACATTAAGATTACCTTAGTAATTATACTAAAGCTATACTTACTACATCTTTTAAAGCGCTTTATACACTTTTTAAGTAGCCTAAAAACTTTTATATAGTTAGTAATAATAGCTTAATTAGTAGCTGTAAGGCTGTCTAATCTTATCTACTATAAAGTAGTAGGCTAATCCTTGCCTTATAAGTTAGCGTAGATATTCTCTTTTGCTATATTTTATATATAGGTGTTTACATATGTGTTAATAGCTAGTGTAAGCTTTATAGCTTACTTAAAATAGTTAAAGTATAAGTTCTAGTGTGTAACTACTAGCTTAATTAGCTGTAGTATTATAAGCTTATTATCTATGTTATAAGGCAGCTTGTAGTAAGCTATACACTGCGCCTTCTTAAAGAGATTATACTGCTACAGTGTGTAAATATAGTTAATAATATTAAGAAGTACGCCTAAAGGTCTATGCTTTTACTACTTTTTTATAAATGCTGCTTTATTAGTAAGCTTGTTAACTTCTTTATTATTATATAAGTTTATATCTCTACCCTAAAGCAGTCTCTGCCTAATTAGATTAATTATATAAAGGCTATAGTAAAAGTGTTAGTAAATAGGATTAAATTTAAGCTTATAAGCAATTACAGCAATAGCAGTGTTATTATTAAAGGTATTATTAAAAATAAAGTAACTAAGTGTGCGCTTACTTATACTAAACTACTTTAATATTAATAATACAACCTTAGCTAGTTAATTGCTAGTGTAAGCACCTATAAGCTAAAGTAGCGTAATAGGTAGGTCTTAGAGCTTGCTATCTAAGTTAATGTAGTAGGCAACAATACTAAGAAACTTATGCTTACTAGCTTTTATTATTTATCTATTAAAGCTTATATAGATTCTGCTAAGTAATTATAACAGCTTATAAATAATGTAGGGCCTAAGCTAGTTAAATAGTTGTATAATGTATTAGAAGACACTTTTATAGTTCTTCTACAGCGCTGCTTTAGCAAGCAGGTTAGTAATAGTAATTAAGTGTTAAAAAGCTAGTGTTTTAAACTTAAAAATAGAGTAGTTATTTATAATAAGCTAGTTAACTATAGTAAACTTAAAGCGCTGCTTACTAAAGCTATTAATTTAATTAGCTACTGCCTATAAAATAAAGACTCTTGCAGTAATAAGCGTGTTATAAATACTAGTAATTAGAGTCTTGCCTAGTGCTATAAGCTTATAGCTAGGCTTCTGCTTACTAAAGTAGTGCGCAGCTAACAAGACTGCTGCGCTTGTATTATATATCCTAATACTAATATCTATAAGCTTATGCTTAAAACACTAGTAGCAAATAAAAAATATATAAGTTAGATCTTTAAAAAAAGTAATGTAATAGCTATAGCAATAGATCTAACTTTACTTATATTAGTGTGTTATAATAAGCTTTATATACAGCTTAAGATAAACCTAATTTATGCTATTATAATTATCTTTAAGATAGGCATTAAAAGCCTTATCTATAGCATTATTAGCTGCTTTAGAAGATAGAGTAAGTGTAGCTTACTTACTACTTTTAGTAAGCATAATAATAGTGTTTTTAGGCTGCAACTTACGCAATTACAACTTAAAAGTATGTGTATATAAAAGTAGTAGAGATAGGGCAGATAGCTAAGATTAAGATAATAGTAAGTTAATTATAATAAGCTAGCTTATAGTGCTGCGCACACGCTTTTTAGGCAAGAGAGCGCTATTAGAGATATGTTTCTTAGGCGGCATAAGGGCGACAATAGGGTGAGGTATACAGCAATAGATCTGCAACACCAGAAGTATATAGCATTATAGGTGATAGATAGAGATAGAGTATACAATATAAGACAACGCGCTAGCTGCTAGTTACACAGAGTTATTAGATATTACATAATACTACACAGTAAACAACACTAAAAAAAGTTTAGTATAGAGCTTTTACAGCTATCTAAGCTGCTTTATAGGCTGCCTTATCTTTAAAATCTACTATATACTTAAGGTAATTAAGCTATTAATCTAAATTAAGCTTACAGAAAAGCTTAGCTAGATTAATTACGTTTCTATATAAGGTTTAGCTGGATTGATTGAATTGGCTTGGCATCAATCTTCTAATCAAGCTATCAAGCTGGCTTGATTGATCTCAGGTGTGGTACTGCACTATTCACTCATTAGGCATAGCTCCTATCTCGTACAGTATATAGTCAGCTCAGAGCTCTATCGAGCTCCTCAGACCTTACAATACACTCGTTCAATCCACTTTGTTTGGATCTCACTACCTTGTCGACTCGCTTCCCATATGACCCCTCCTCAGCTCATGCAAGAGCCGTCGCGGTCGCTTCAGTGGTGTGCTCGTAGGATGAAGAGACTGGCTGGTCGGCGAGTGCGTATACTAGAGGCTGCTGGAGTCGCAACCAGACGAGGCGCACGGCATGCGTAGGGAGAGTGAAGATTAAAGTTCCTATCTGTGCGCCGAGAAACACCTAGGCTGAGAAATATAGCCGGTACCTCAACTTTAAGCACTTTACTATAAGCTTCTTTATGTTACACTATAGTTATTCCTAGATATTCAGAGCAGACTCGAGATTAAGGAAGTAGTTAGTTACTTGTTACTGAATTGTTTATTCAATTAAGTAAGCTAGTGTGAGGGTGGTTTTAACACAGAGAGCAGGGACACCAAAAAGGATGGCACAGGATCTATTCAAAGAGAGTAGAAAGAGATGGGTGCTTGAGGAGAACCCCGAGGGACTCGAGAAGACTAGATATCTACGCAGTCACATGACGTAGTTATGCGTCCGAAGCTCCCCTTGACTCTCCCGAGGGAGCCCTGACCCAGGGAGCGAGGGAGGGATGTGAAATATCTCTTACAGTAATATATTTTTAACAACTGTTTGTCTACTCTTAAGTTTAATAATATCTATTTAGTTTATTAATATATTTATAACGTATAAATTAGAGTAAGAAAGAGGTAGAGCTTAATATATTCTTTGTTGGCATTTAATAACACAGAGTATAAAGTCATAAGTAGAGAATAAATAACATCTTTTCTATGTATATGTTGTGAATAGGTTCTTTAAAGAAACTATGACGATGTATAAGTCCGTAGGCGACACGAAGGCTTCTGAATTATGAGTTGGCAGCGCGGAGTAGAGGTAGGTAATATTTCTTCCGCACCAAGGAAGGGTTTATAATGCGATAGCATGAGTGTGGATCGTTAAAGCTCACGAATGCGTTTCAGAGCGACGATCTGGTGTGTCACCGACATAGTTGGAGGGCCGGGTGTCGTTCTGCGTGAAAAATCAAAATCGTTTGTGACGAAGTGTACAAACCGTCCGGACATGAACTTGCCCTAGCTACCTTACATGAGTGCTTCGGTTTTCTCCTCCCCAGCGGTTCTATACCGCGTATGTAGTCGTTTGGGGGAAATGGAAACAAAGGGGCAGCAGGTTGGAGTCCGGAGAAAATATCCAGTCCTGGCTCTATGAACAGTGCCAGGCCGTTTAACCGAGCTGTAACGTTGTGGAATGTCTCGCGATATGTTGTGAACTAGCAGACAAGACCTCGAACGTCTCAAGCTTTCTTCTCCTCCTTTTTCGCTGTATTCAATTCATCTTTAAAGCTGTGGTTGATCAATGCGACACTATCCACAATGATAGCATCGAGACCGGCGGCAGCTTGAGCCTTATATTTTGTTAGACACGGATGGTATATTAGCATCATTAGTGTACCGTTCACCTACCCTAGCATTCTCCGGATCATTGTTCAACGCCCCGAAGGACCAGCAAATCAACCCAGCGTCCTTCACAAATTGGACGAGTTTCGGACTTGTGACGAATGGCTCCGAAGACATGACTACGCCAGGAAGATTCCAATGGCGTGCGAATTGAATTGCTTCTTGGAGATTGCTTGCGCGCACGTCTCCGGTTGGAAACAAGTTCGACTCGTTGAGGAACATGACTGGATACGTATCTTGTTTATGTGCGGCTAGAATGCAGAGCTCGGGACTGAATGACGTGAAGAGAATGGAGCGGTTGCCACCGTATTTGTAGATCAGATCCAGGATGGTGTCAATGTAGAGGTTGAATTCCACGCCGTAGAGGTCCATCTTCCAGTCTTCAGCCTCCCAAAGCATGGGGTACTCTATGCGGTCATCAGCTCATGTCTTGTCGATAGGCTCAATTGCAGCCACAATTGTGTGCCGCTTGTAGGAATCCAGAACTCACTTAGTTCTATGTCAAATGCAACTGTTTCAGGAAGGTTCCGCAGCAACTCCTCTAGCGTAGTGAATGAATCGTGGATATGTGCTCCGCGAATGTTGCCTTTAAATCCTTTGACCTTGAACTCATGTGTGTGCTTGATACGCGCCAAGAAGTCTCGAGTACGGCAGTCCTCGATGGTGCCGAAGGATTGCGAGCGCTGACGCAGAGCAGATGGAGGTAGAGCTTCGTCCGCTTCAACGTCTTGAGCCCCAGCTCCAATCCTATATGGAGGTTTTGCTCCATTTGATGGCTTCTGCATGTCACTAATGCACATAAACTGCGACCTGTAAGCCATGACACTTGCTAGTCTGAGCAGGATTGTGGAACAGCACCTGATCAAAGCTAAGATTGTGTGGAGCTATGTCAGCTCCGCTTTCACTTATAAAAAAATCATGATATATGACAGGAACATGGTCTCGGGTTAGTTGCACGTCTACGTGGATTAGATATAGCTTCTTCCAGCTATGAAAGACGAGCTCCTACCGCACTATTTGCAATCAGCACCAGCCTTGGAGTGTAGATATGGTTGCTCACCTCAACATATGATACGCCTAAATCGATGGTAGACTGGAAAGACTAAAAATTCATAAGTGTAAGAAGGCGTGAAAAAGTGTTGTAACATGCCTGAATGGTGTTCTCCCCTATTTGAATACGCTTGAAGGCTGGGGAGTTCATACCCAACCCTTCGGCTAGGTGAGCGAAGCTACCGAGACTGGGCTAGTCACTAACCTCTATGTCCGATGAGTGTGATCTTTCTATTTGAGTTCCGAATACATTGGTGTCCCTTGGAGCTTGGGGGCATGCGCGGATCGGGGAACGGCTTCACTAATAGAAAGTTCATAGTTAATGTCCCAATGAATTCTCCAGCCTCGGATCCTATAATAGGGATCTGATGATCTCGGAACAGGCTTTCCCTTCCTGGACCAAGTGAGTTGCCAAGCTCTTCCAAGAGGCCAACCGCGGTCCCAATATGAATATCTGCATTCGGTGACGCTGAAGATCGACGGTAAATTTTGAACACAAGCTTCGCGTTCCGGACATCATCAGTTTGAAAAACAAAGGGATAATTCGTCTTGTCATCCAGAATAGGTAGATGCATGGAACCGCCATGTCCGTCCATTCCTAAACCGCAGACCCTAACCGAAAACCGGGTTTCGGGATAAGGATTGAAGGGATATCTCAGGAGGTACGGCGAGAGATCAATGGCTGGCCGAGGTTTCCTGGCGTTCAGTGCCCCAAGATTAACAAAAACACGACTGGTACTCGGGGCACAGGGAGGAAGCGCATTCGTCTTCGGTAACAGGAGTTTTGGTACCCGCCGGGGCCAACCCGAGGTAGCCGGCTGCAGCAAGTTGGAGATCGGCCAGAATCCCCGAAAAGCGACGTGATCCAGTGCTGTCCACCCAAATGCATCCGAATGGTTCTCGTCTACTTCTATGTTAAGGAGGGCTTCTACTGCTGCCTTATGCCCCAAAACGCAAGCCACTATAAGGGGCGTCCAACCATAAGACTTTTCAGCCACATTAGGATTTACTGCTTGGTGAGAGCGATTCTGGACGAGCATATTGATATATTCTACGGAGCCCGCGCGCGATGCGATGAACAGGGCTGTCTCTCCGTTTGGCTGAACGTAATTCAGATTGACAAGCCCTGTGTCTAGCAAGGCTTCAACTATCTCCGTGAAATGAGATAACAGAGCTGTATGTAGGAGATCTGCTAGCATATCACCGAGGGCTTCCCTTTCGGGCTGCCCGCGCTCGATAGATTCGGCCGATGCAAGCAGCGCTCGCGTTGTCTCTGCGTGACCATTCATAATGCTCAGATGAAGGGCGGAGTGGTGGCCATTGTCGAAAAAGGAATGCCTGAAAAGATCAAATGGGAGCTGAGGTCGCAAAAGGTCCCACTTGTCCATTGAATGAAGAAGGGCTTGGGCGATGCGGGGGTGCCCGGCTTCGGCGGCGTAATGTAAAGGAATCCGCCCACGGTAATCCTTTTGGACGATCGCTAACCGTTGCTCATTGTCGAGGCTATTGAGCATGAAGGAAAGCATGGAACTACTATCGTCATATTCGCCCATATATCCATCCATGAGTGCTCGGTAGCGTTCACGATTGCCGCCATGAGAAGTTAGACCATGTTGATGACAAGCCATTATAACCAGAGTATGGATACAATTGCGATGTGTCCCCATGGCGACATCTTGCAGATTGGAACCTATCCATTGAAGGATTTGCAGAGCACATTCTCTTGACTGTTGCAGTATCGCTTCATACAGCAAGGTTTGTTTAAAAAGTGAAGGCAAGTCAGATGAATGCAAAAATTCCACGAGGTCCTTGGCGTTGTCTGTCACTAAGGCATCTCTCAACCGCTCGTCAACATGTATGGATAATTGGGCGCTTATCTGGCGGAGAAGGAACGACGGGTCCTTGGCGCCACAAGCAGTTGACTGGAGCTTCAGAACAATAGCATCGATCTCCTCCATTTCGCGAAGGGTCTCCAGCTGGCTGACGAATTCATAGGCTGCAGTGTTGAGCCTTGCGTAACCCGTTTTAGACGCAATGACGTCCAACTTGCGGGACAGAGCTTCCAAAGCATCGCTGTTGACCCCGGCGTACCATCTAAGTCGTCTCAGGTCCCGACTGTACTCAAGACAAGAGCCCAAAACAAATATTTGCTCAGGGCGATTGAGCTCTCCCGGGACAATGGCTCCGTCCTTCTCATACAGGCGCACAACGCCCTGATAGTTTAGACGAAGACGGTGATGCTGCTTAGTGTAGAAAGTCTGGACCTTCTGAACCTCGTGCTTCAAGGCGACGGAAAAGGCTGAGCGCGATTAGAACCCATCTGGGAGCGGGTGATGTTGAGTCACCAAATACCTGCCAAGTCAACCTCAGCCTGATGGTCAGCAAGGGCATGCTCGGTGGCCAACTTGATGCGTCTCTTTAAGCCATAGTAATCGATATAGAATGGAGCCCACTCCGGAATGCGGTTCTGGTAGAGATTGCGGCCGAAGCGCATGTTGGCAGGTGTGTGTTAGGTTGAGCGATGGCAGGAGGACTGGTGGGCTGTGTATCCCTGGGGGCGAGCCCTGAGCCCTGAGCCCTCCGTGAACCCTGCCGCGTTTAGGTCCTGTGGCAGCGGCGCACACGTCGCAACCTGTGCGATGTGTGCGGGGGCGAGCGGGCCATTAAGTTTCTTTTCATTGTGACGAGGCGTTTGGAGTTTGCCATGATGTTGTGTCACGCGGGAGGGCCAGTCAGCGTTAGGCAGGTGCCGCCGGAAACCATGGCTGAGCGGCGCTGCACGGGTTGAGGTTGGAGCAGTTCCAGAGGCCTGCGGAAGAAGCCGAGGAGGGGGGTCTACGGGGCGGTCCTGCGCACTAGAGCGGGCAACTTAAAGGCGGGTGCGGCCCGTCCTCGCACACGGCTAACTAGCTTGTCCCTTTGCGCCGGTCACGCCGCCGGCCGCCGCCGATACCCGCTCCTCACATGCCCCGCCACCATGGATCCTCTATCCATCACTGCCAGCGTAATCGCCGTCGCAACACTCGCCGCGAAGCTCTGCGCCACTTTCAGCAGCCTTCGCGAAGTCTGCAACGTTCTGCCCGGACGACTGCATGCGCTGAACAACGAGATTGTGGATTTCGAGGCTGTCTGCCGACAAGTTGGATCCGCGCTAGACGAACGCGCCGCCGCCGAACTAGACGCGGCTACTGACGCTGCAATCCGCCGCCTCCTCCAACAAGCAAGACAGACGCTAGTGGAGGTGCACGCCGTTCTCGCTGCTATTGTCGCCACGTCTCATCGCAACCGTGTGGCCGGTGTCAGGGCGTGGAAAAAAGAGCACGCCCGCCTGGAGCAACTCCAGAATGAGATCAAAACTGTCAAGTCCTCCCTCAACATCCTGATTGGCACCTCCCAGTCGTATGTACCCGGGCGCAGTCCTGCTTCTGTCTTCTGGGCTCGCTAACTAGCCAAGCCACGACATGACACGCATGCGCCTGGAGTTGCAGGCCATTACTTCGGTGACTTCACAGGCTGCTAAAGAGCAAATCGAATTCCGCGACGAGTTCCGCAACAATCTCGCATCGCACCACGACAGCTTCAACGATTCCGTTGCTGCCATGTATCGACAAGTCGATGGTCGCATAGGCAGGATGGAAGATATGTTGAAAGAGCAGGCCGATCGTCTCAGAGAGCAGCAAGAGAACCAGCTTTCACCTTTCTACGGACAGCCTCCTCCACCATATCGACGCCGTACTCCATCACCGCGGCGCGTTACTCTCTCCAGCGCGCCGAAAGACGCTCGCGCCGACGCCGTCGGTATCCGCGTGGCACAATACGCTTCATCCTGTCACCAAGGGTGTCCGTGCGCATGCCATTCCCAGAAGAAATCGCAGACGCCAGCAATGTTTGAACGTGTTCTTGGTAAGCTCTTCGTCGGATATGCAGGATTACCTTTGGTCAGCTCCAAGTGCAACTCACCGCAATGTGCGAAAGCACAGACTGCTCGCGTGAGCATGGAATATTGGTTTCCCATGAGTTTCATTTCACAGATCGTTCGATTCCAGCTTGCAGTCGAGAACACAGGCCCTCAGTTTGCGCTCAATTTCCTTCGACGAGTGCCTGATACAGCGCAATCCGTAGGGTTTGCTCAGGCGGGAAATGTAGATGGCTTGAAGGATTTATTTAGACGAGGCCTTGCTTCCCCACGCGATGTTAGCTCAACTCGCGGCTACTCCTTGCTTCGAGTACGCAGAACACCTTGCTTATTTGATTGATGAATTCTAAATTCTACAGTGGGCCCTTTATTCGAAGCAGTGGGATACCTGTAAATTTCTTGTCCACGCTGGGGCAGATCCTGATTACCGGTACGTACCTTCTCAGCTCATAGGCTGTTCAAAAACCCACTGTTAATGCTAACCTATTCTAGACCAATTGCTGCGCATGATAACAGCCCGAGAAACAAAGCATGCGACTTCGTGTTGCAAGGCTTCCTATCAAAGCAGGCCGAAGATACTCTGCTCTGTCTTACATCCGGGAGTGACTGGGTGGAAGAGCAGAACTTTACCATCCTCCACAAAATCGCAACTGGGCTATCGTTCAAAGACATCGAGGAAACGATACTGCTTCATCTCGATGAAATCGATGCACTTGATGCGATGGGCCGGACCCCTCTCATCTGGGCCGCTGCACGAGGAGATAGCCGCGCTGTAGGACATTTATTGGCCCATGGTGCGGATCCAAACGTGCTTGACATCCAGTGGACTGGAGCAGTTTCTTACGCTGCTGAACGTAGCCATCTTCTTTGCGTCCGATTACTCCTCGAGGCGAACGCAGCGCCGGATCCGGTGCTGCCCAAAGGTGTACGCGTCGGCAGTGCACTGAATTGTGCCGCCCGGAACGGCACTGATCCCTTGGTTTTGAAAACTTTGCTAGACTTTGGGGCAGACACAGAAGCAAGCGGCGTTGATAAAATCACTCCATTGATCCATACCGCTCGTACTGACAACGTCAACTTCGCAATGCTACTTTTGGAGTACGGAGCCGATATCAATGCAGCAACTGCCGCCGGCCAGACTCCTCTAACGACAGCAATCACTCTCAATAGCCATCATGTCTTACGTCTCTTGCTCGATCGCTGGTACGAATACAGTACTTGCCCCAGGCTTTCGGGTCCTCATCTCCTCAGAACAGCTGCGCTCTTCGCTGATGAAGAGACGCTCAAAATTTTAGTCGCTGCAGACCACTTCAAATTGAAATACGACAGAGCGTATATCCTTGCCGACTGCTTAGAACAGTTCATGGATCGCTACGATGTCACCGAAGACCATGTCTCCCTGTTCCGAGACTTGCTCGGCGTTTTGAACGAAGATCCAAGCGCCCTGCAGGTAAAAGATAAGCTAATGGAAGGTGGTCTTCTTTCTCACGATGTGCATGGCGAATTGGATAGTTGGGATGATTCGGATGGATTTTTCGAAGATGCCGTTGAAAAGCATGGGGACACAGAAAAGGTTGCATTGCTTATTTAATCTGTCACTACCACCAACAACTTATCTGATCTAACGGCGCTACCACCTGGGGAAAGGCTGCTTTTCTCTCCGATTCCAAACCTTTCGTTGGCTCTTCGTATTACTAAAGAATGGAGAAGTATGTCTTTCGCAATATACCACACTGTCAAAATACTTGTCACACGTTTACATACGAGCAAATAGCTACAACTTATCAATACAGCGAATAGCAGTCAAAACAGCGTATCCACGAGAAGAATGAGAAGATACGCAATGTATTGATGCCCATAAGCTCTACGCAGTAAAGGTCCGTCCATATGAACGCTTCCAATACCGCTATACAGCCCCGACAGCCAATCAGCGCCGATGCCAATTTCATTTTCTAACATTTAGAATTAATATATAACTACTGACTTCAGAAACAAAACCTGAGCATTGAAACAGATTATCTACGCTGCATTACTTATATGCAGGAAGGCTTGTTAGAAACATCCTTTCTAAGAAACCCGCACAATGGCTTCTAACTGTGTTTGAACTTAAGTTCTAGGAAAAGTTGTTTATGTACTACTACTAAGCAAACATAAGCATAGTGTCCCTAAAAGCCTTGGCAGGGGGGTCTATAAGTGTAAGAGCGGCGGTTAGTCTAGATATAGAGTATGCGCTCTAGCTAAGGTATAAATTAGACTAATTACTAACGTACCTAACGGGTTGGCCGGCCACACAGGTTGGCCGGCCACTTTTGCCAAGCCCCCACTAAAACCACCCCATTCTCTCGCAAAACAGCCCACTTTGGCCCTGTATAAAGTAATACAACACAAGATATTATTTAGAGTCTACTTCTGCTACTTACTTACACGTACGCAAGTTATGCCTAGTCTAATTGCACTGCCTGCATTGCCTTTAACTTAGCTTACTTTCTTTAGCGCGCACCTGCGTCTTTAGCTTCTTCCTATTACTACGCGCTCTAAACTCCTTTAGAGCAGTTAGACAAGCCCTATCTTTAACTATTAAAGTCTTTTTTGCCTAAATCTGCTTCCTTTTATGTAATCTATGTTGTGTGGCAGCCTTATTTGCTGCTTAAAGCTTTATAATCTTATAGCCTACTTTATTATGTTAATGCTTTAGATAACTGTTGTCTACTCCCTATTACCTTACTATATTACCTTTAGCTGTCCTTATCTTTTTAAAGCTATAATAACTGCTTTAGTTAATATTTAGCCTATTATAAAGCCTAACTTATTAAAGTTATACTTGTCTTTATCTTAGATACTATACTTAGCTTTTATGTTAGCTATAAAGTAAAACTAGCCCTAGATAACCTCTAGATCTTTATAAAGCACTCTCTTATAATTATACTTATAATTAAACTTTATTATAAACTTAGGGCAGTGCTTAACCCACATACTAGTCTAGTTTAAGCTAACCTAGCCTAGATTGCGCTCTGCAGGCAAGAAATTAGCTATATTAGCTACAGCTACAAGCCTAGGAGAAAATCTGCGCGTAATAAGCTTAAGTATGTACTTAATAACTACTTTCTTTTTAAGCTTAGTTAGATTCCTTAATTTAAGCTAGCATTCTGCTTGTAAAGGCTGTCTAGCGCGTTAATTGCTTAGTGTTATGTAAGAGACATTATAGATAGCTGCAGCGCGTTGTAAGAAGAGTTTTAAGTCTTATTTAAGAGCCTAAAGAGCAAGCTATATCTAACGTTCTTTAGAAGATTTAATCTAGTGTTGTTGTTAAGGCATTATGTAGATAGGTAGAGTTTAGTGGGGGCTTGGCAAAAGTGGCCGGCCAACCCGTGTGGCCGGCCAACCCGTTAGGTACGTTAATAGTAAATTAAAACTAAGCTGTCTAACATCTATTTAATAGGCAATTTAAAGTCAAGCTACATAAATAACACTTTATTACTTAATTCGCTCTAGCACTTAAACAAATAAAGTGAAAAAAGAAAAAAAAGTATATAACTAGAAGCTTTTTTTTAATAGTTATAGCTTATACTTTATAAATAAGTTGATAAAGTACTATAATAATAATTATATAATTCTATTTAGCTTTCTACTATATAGAACTTATACTCTTTAGCTGTTAGATGTTATAGTATTTTAGCTATTTAAATACTATTATAAATAAATAGTAGAGAATGTAACATGTACTAGCTGTATTTGTAACAATGCATGCAAGACAGGAGGTTTAAATGCGGTGTGAATCCACCTAGAGGCAGATAGGAGTGGGTAGAGACTTAGAAACCTAGGAATTCTGTTTGCAGTAATCACACGATAGTCGGATGCGTCGTCACCATGGTCGCATGCGTCGTCACCATGATCGGATGCGTCGCCATCATAGTCGTATGCGTCGTCACCATGATCTATTGCCAAGACTCACCCACTCATTTCGCATGTATATAGACTCCTACAAAGGACTCCTCTAGCAATACATTCAATGCAGTTCCTCATGTCTCTGGTGCCTCACATAGCTTCACAGTTATGAGCCCGGCAATCGCTTGCTAGTCAATCGAGCTGTTTTCAAACCTCTACCAGGGAGAGCTCCTTTGACACCCTGCGTACAATTGTGACCTCTTTGTCACACTCTACTACCTTAAAGTCGCTCTTTTACAGCACTTTAGGTATCTTTTAAGACCTTTTGATCCAAAGAGGCGACTCAAAGTCTCTACTTCACCAGTCGCATCAATCGCGACCTCTACAATCTCCTGAGCACGCTACCAGAGCTCTCAGTCGAGCACCGCAAGGACATTCGTCCACCTCAAGGACAACCTCGTCCACCTCAAGGACAACCTCGTCCACCTCAAGGACAACCTCGTCCACATCAAGGACAACCTAGTCCACATCAAGGACAACTCAAGGACAACCAAGTCCACATCAAGGACATATTCGTCCACCGCAAGGACATTCGTCCACCTCAAGGACATATTCGTCCACCTCAAGGACATATTCGTCCACCTCAAGGACACATTCGTCCACCTCAGGGACATACTCGTCCACCTCAAGGACATATTCGTCCACCGCAAGGACAAGCTCGTCCACCTCAAGGACAAGCCCGTCCACCGCAACAACATATTCGTCCACATCAAGGACAACTCAAGGACAACCAAGTCCACATTAAGGACAACTAAGTCCACCGCAAGGACATTCGTCCACCTCAAGGACACATTCGTCCACCTCAGGGACATACTCGTCCACATCAAGGACAACCAAGTCCATCGCAAGGACATACTCGTCCACCTCAGGTCCACATCAAGGACAACCTAGTCCACATCAAGGACAACTCAAGGACAACCAAGTCCACATCAAGGACAACCAAGTCCACCGCAAGGGCATACTCGTCCACCTCAGGTCCATATCAAGGACAACCTCGTCCACATCAAGGACAAACCTCGTCCACATCAAGGACATACGTCATCAATATGACAGACTCCACTGATTTGCTAGTCACAAAGACTACAGTCATACTCAACACAACCAATGACTGGGACCGATGGATCTACCTCCAAAAGTCAGTCGCGGAACAGCTGTTTGTCTGGGAATACTGCAACCCAGAGCTCTCAGCAGCTGAGGTGATGATACTAGGAGACATACCAGTTGAGCCAACATATAGCGATCATCAATCGGGCGCCACCAAACCATCTGAAATGGATGCAAAAAACCCATCCGACTATCGTGTGATTACTGCAAACAAATTCTATTAACTGTAAGGCCGAGATGGCGCTTACGTGCGACAGGTATATATACTCTTCTGTGCGAAGATATTAACTGTTAGTTAATTATTCGCACCTTTTTAGTTGTATTAGCGCAGTGGTACAGAGCTCCGTCCTTACACTTAGAGGGATAGAGGGATAGTAGAGGCTATTACTGTTATGTTCTTTACTTTTTTAAACTAAAACTAGTTTAATTTAGCTAGGTGTCCTAGCTCTAGTTATTCCTTCGCGATGCTAGCAGTGTGTCTCTATACTAACGCTATGTGTGCGTGCTTACTCTAATCTGTATTAATGTTAAGCCTGTTAACAATTAAAGCTTACTATTATCTAAACATTAGTTTTTACTATTTATAAAGTTATTAATTTTAGGCGTGTGTTTAGTAAAGTAAAATTAAGATATTATTAAAGATAATTTAGTAGTTAGTGAAAGTTAATTAGAGCTAACAGTTCTCTACTAGTTTACTACTTAATTTATAGTTACAATTAACATACACTATAGGCAAGTTGCTTACACACCTAAGTTGTTTACTATTACTAAGACTATACTAAACTACTTTTTCTACACTAATATATTTCTAACAACACTACTTAGATGTGTTAAAAAAATTAGGTATAGCTTATACTTTAGGCTTTTAAATAAAATGTAACACTTTTTAAACAACATGCTATAGCTATGTATAAAGTCTTTTAAAAGATAATAAATAACTAATACAGTAGATAACTTTTATAAGTTAATTTTATAGCTAATTATTAAGGATAAATAAGAATACAAAGTAAGTATTTATTATGCATATACTTAAGCTAGATGCCTAAGGATTTTTCTTTTAGCTAGTAGCTGTAACGGCACAGGCAAGACAATGGGTTTAAATGCAGTATGAATCTACTTAGAGGCATATAGAAGTGTGTAGGGACTTAGAAACCTAGGAATTATATTAACAACTATAAGCCTTGTACAAAAGGATATTAGAAAACTACTAAGCTAGCTAAGAAGAGAGGTGCGGCTAAATACTTAGGGGAATATAGGTACAGCAGAGGCTAGGACTAGAGGAGGCGGAGCTGATACAGTAAACCTTCGGGCAACCTGAGATGGAGCGAGCACATCGTTATAACGCGCGATGCGCGCTTACCTGTAGGCAGCGTGTGTTGTTTACTTTTTAGTCTGTAAAATTAAAAAAATATACGTGCTACATCTTATATAAGAAATGTAATTTTATAAGCATACTATTTAATACTACTAGAGTATATTTTACTACTCTATAATAATTTTTTATTTTATAAAAGATGTTTTTATTCTTTTAAAGCTATCTTAAGCTATAGACAGCAGCCTAAAATATAAAATTAAAAAAGATAATAAGAAAGCCTTTAAAGCTGTTTTAGAATCTACTTAAAGCCTAGTGTAGGCAGCCTAGGTTATAAGACGTTACGAAGCTAGTCTTTCTGCAGCTAGTATCTAGGTAGTGTTATTCTACTAAGGTACTAAGCTGCTTTAATAAGTTTTAGATTTAAAGGATTTAGTATCTAGCTGTTAAAAAAACATTTTAGCGCTCTTAGAACAAGATAGAGGAAGTTATAAAAAAGCTTAGAAAGAAAAGAGAAGTAGAAGAAGAAGACTAGAGAGGTCTCTAATAGCTTGCTATTAGACCCTCTAAGTAAAATGTTGTTTAACTTGTAATATTACTATATATAATTATAATTTAGCTATGCTTTTATAGTTTATTATTTACTAGGTAGTCTACGCCTTTTATACAAGCCTTAAAAGCTTTAATTTATAGATATAAAGCTTTTAAACGTCTTAGCTAATTTAAATGCTTATTATAAAAAGCTTTTAATTTATAAAAAGAACTTATAAAATTTAAAGCCTTAACGTACTTTACAGGCAAGTTACTTATACACCTAAGTTTCTTACTTTTACTAAGACTCTACTAAACTACTGTTCTTACACTAATGCATTCCTAATAACACTACTTAGACGTGCTAAAAGAATGTTAGATACAGCTTACACTTTAAGCTTTTAAATAAGACATAAAACTCTTAAAAAACATGCTACAGCTATATATAAAGTTCTTTAAAAGATAATAAATAACTATAGCACTAAATAACTTTTATAAGCTAATTCTATAGCTAACTTATAAAGGCTAAGTAATAATAAAAAGTAGGTAATTATTAAGACTATACTTAAGCTATATGCGTAAGGATTTTCTTTTTAAATAGCATTTATAGCTAATATAGCTAATTCTTTACACATAAAGTGTAATCTAGGCTATGTTAGCATAAACTAGTCTAGTATGTTTAGAAAGCATTATCTAAAGCTTAAAGTAATATTTAAGTATAATATAACTATAAAAGAGCTTTTTATAAAGGTCTTAAAGTAATTTAAAGCAGGTTTAGCCTTATAAAAAATATTAAAGCTAAGTATAGTATTTAAAATAATAACATATATAACTTTAGTAAAATAAGCTTTATTATAAGCTAAATATTTATTAACTATACTTACACTTAAAACTTTACTTAAGCTTTAAATAATACTTTATAAACATACTAGGCTAGTTTATGCTAACATAGCCTAAATTACACTTAGCGTGTAAAGAATTAGCTATATTAGCTATAAATGCTATTTAAGAGAAAAATTCTTACACATATAGCTTAAGTATAGCTTTAATAATTACCTACTTTTTATTATTACCTAGCCTTTATAAGTTAGCTATAGAATTAGCTTATAAAAGTTATCTAGTGCTATAGTTATTTATTATCTTTTAAAGAACTTTATATATAGCTGTAGCATGTTTTTTAAGAGTTTTATGTCTTATTTAAAAGCTTAGAGTATAAGCTATATCTAATATTCTTTTAGCACATTTAAGCAGTGTTGTTAGGAATGCATTAGTGTAGAAAAAGTAGTTTAGTAGAGTCTTAGTAAAAGTAAGCAACTTAGGTGTGTAAGCAACTTGCCTGTGAAGTATGTTATACTAAACTAAATTAAAGTTATATTCTAACATAACGTACTTTATAGGCAAGTTGCTTACACACCTAAGTTGCTTACTTTTGCTAAGACCCTACTACACTACTCTTCCTACACTAATGCATTCCTAACAACATGTCACGGTATCCTCCCCAGATCCCAGACATAACTATATTAGACGCGTACTAGAGTATTATTAGTGCACGTCTAACACAAACACAACACAACATAGACATAAACTTAAGTATAAACTGCCTTAACACTAAATAAACCTAAAACAGGCTTAATTTATACCTAAAGCACTTAGACTTTTAAGCTAAGTATTTAATTACTAATTTTTTTCTAAACCTTTCTATTTCTTACATAATGTCTTATACTTACTATAATACTTTACATAGTAATTAAACTAGACCTTTATAAAGCTCTATAACCTTACTTATGCATAATTATAACATTATATTATGTTAAAACTTTAGCTAAAAATAGCCTCTAAATTAAATTTAACAAGCTTAGTACTTACATAACTTTAAGCTATTAAAGTAAGCTAAAAAGCCTTCTAAAAAGCGCTTACTTTATAAAAAAGCTACTATGTTGCAAGCTTTAAAGCTTTTTAAAAAGACTTTAAAGAACAGCTTTATGTTATTAAGCAGTCTATTTTTGCCTTAACTTTTATTATAGTAGTAAGAACTAAAAACTTACTAGCCTTAAAGCCTACTTAGAAGTCTAAAAATAGCTTAACTCTTTTCTACTTAACGCTGCCTATAACCTGTAACTTTTTTAACTTAGTAATAAAATCTAACTAACTCTCTAATCCCCTGCTGTTTAATAAAAAATAGAAAGACCTACTTTTCTTTCTACATAAGCTCTAATACAAACTTAAAGGAAACATAAACTAATTCCCCTTTAAACACGCTTAGTTATTATATGCCTATTTTTAACTTAACTATAACATAATAGCCTTAATTAACTTACTAATAGATAAAGATATTATTAACCTAGATTAATTTATAGTGTTTTTATAAGTAACTTATAGAGACCTAAATAAAAAGTTAATAGCCTTAAGTTACTTAAATACCTTATAATAAGAAAGAAAAAGCTTTACTTTACACTTTACTAAGTTCTACTAACTTACATCTAATATAGGCCTAAATAAAATAGGTCTAATTATAGCCTTATATAACTCTCTCTTAACTAAACTGCAACGCGCTATAGTAGAAGAACCCCTCCTAAACAACCTTAACGCGTATGTAAACCTAATTGCTACCTATAATAATAACATAAGGTTCCTCCCTATACAAGCCCTAATACGCCCCTAAACTAGCGCAGTTATAAATAAAAACCTTAATATAATAAAAATTAATTTAAATTATGCTCTAGTTAGTTCTAAAAAGTGTAAGAATTATAAAAAAAAAAGTTAATACTTTAAGTGCAGTAAGTGTAGTTATATCTTTTAAAACTACTTTATTTCTTTTTTTTAAGTCTATATAAGTAGTGCAGCTAGCACTTATTAAAAATCTTTACTATTTTAATCTTATTTTTATAAAGGCTCTAACTTATATTTAAGCTCTAATCCCTTTTACTACTCTTAACATAGCCACAGCTATAGCAGTAGAAGCCTGTAAAAAGGCTTGTCCTAGAGCTAAGTTGCCCCTTAAGACTAATTCAACACTAGATCTCTGCTAACTTATAAGCTAAGTCCTCTACTAATAACTAAAAGTACTAAGTTAATATTTCTATATGTTTATAATAAAAAACTATATTAGCCTTAATATAAGCTCTTATTAACTTAAAAGTAAATAGTATAAGTTACATTAATAAAGAACTAGTGCATAAACTAAATTTCTAATTAACACTACTTACCTAAATAATTTACTTAACTAGATTTAATAGAAAATAACTTAAAAAAAGTTCTATTTTCTATACTATAACTATTATAATTACCTACTAACACTATAAGGAGCAGATTAAGCTCTATGTAATAAACATAGACATTATAACTTAATCCTAAGACAACTATAGCTATATTAGTATAAAGTTGCCTTTAATTACTAAAAGTAAGTCTTAAACTTTAACTTTTTCTAATGCTAAAACATATGCTTATGCTTACACCTAAATAACACCTAAGTAGCACTTAATACAGAAGGTCTCTAGACCTACTTTTTAATAACCTAAAAAAAAACTACTTAAGTAAGGCTAATAAGCTAGGCCTTTTACTAAAATAAGCTATATAAAATAATTTAATAACTGCTTAAACCTAAAGAAAAAAAAGCCTTTATAAAATTTTTACTTACTTAATTTAGACATAAACTAGGACTTAAATAGCAGATAGACATCTGCTACATAAAACCTACTCTATTTATAACCTTAGCTTAATAACTAGATTATAAAATCTATGTAGTTATAATTTCTAATATAGACTAAGCTTTAGCTCTTTAAAAACACACTAACTTAAAAATAATAGTCTCTTAAAACTACTATAACTTATTACATATCTTTTTCTAAGATAAGTTTAATAAGCTTCTAATATAATGTTTATATAATTACTAAATAACTTTTAAGCCTAGCAAACAACCTAGTTATAGGCTACTATATAAGATGTTACTAAATAAATTAAAAGTGCTTTAAAAATACTTTAATAAAAACCTAAAAAAAAGGTTTATTTAAGCTAGCTTTTTACTAGTAGTGTTACTTATACTATTTATAAAGAAACCTAGAGGTAGGCTTTAATTCTATGTTAACTACTAAAAACTAAACACTATTACTATTAAAAACTAATACTTAATTCCTTTTTTATAAAAAACTCTAAGCTAACTAAGTAAAGTAAAGTATTTTATAAAGTTAGATATTATTACTACCTTTAACAAGCTAAAAATAGTAAAGAGTAATAAGTAGCTAACAGTGTTTTAGACCTAATATAGACTATTTAAGTACCTAGTAATGCCTTTTAGCTTAGCTAACGCGCCTAGTACTTTTTAACATTTTATAAATAACTTACTCTAACCCTACTTAGATGTGTTCTGCACTACATATATTAATAATATTCTAATTTATAGTAATAGCCTTTTAAAGTATAAATAGCATGTACGCCTAGTGCTAAAAGCTATAGAAGAAGCAGGTCTGCAACTTAACATAGATAAATGCAAGTTCTACTAA